TGGTTATCCAATCCAATCCAATCTATCCTATCCTATCCTATCCTATCCTTCTGCTCTACTCTACTCTAGAATAGAGTATTCTTTACTCTACCCTACCCTACTCTGCTCTGCCCTGCCCTGCCTTGCCCTACTCTACGCTACGCTACCCTACCCTACCCTGTCCAGAAAGAGAGAGGGAGAGCAAATCACATGTCTGCTGAAGGCTATGTAACAAGACTTTAAATGCCATTGAAGAAAAACCATTGTTCAGCAGTTTTTCCACAGCCAGGAGAATATTTGAATACTCTGTTTGGTGCGGAGGCTAGAATGTTATCTATATACCCTAAAGTAGTAATGGAAAAAAGTGTCTACAGGACCATCGAAAAGTTTTCTTGAGTGAAACATCCTTGTGGTTTGACCACTGAGATTATGAAAAAAGAGGAAGCCATCCCACTACTTTTCCAGGTTGACATTCTAAAAATGTGCTGATGTGCTGAGGTTAATAGTTTATTGAAGTCTCAGCATGTACAGTATAATCAAAATCTGTCTGGGAATTCTGGAAGTTATATCCCAACAATTTTGCAGGGTTGTGCCAGCTTGGAGAAGGCTGCAAATGCCTATCTTCCGGTTACAATTATCAGGATTCCAGCAATTACCCCAATAACAGTTTTATTAAAAACAACACTATTGTGCATAAACTCTATCATTCAAGCTATAAGTTAAGTTCTTTCATTCTACATCATCTAGGAGTGTAAAGAAAAGAACCACTGCTTTTCTGTAGATTTTTACCTAGAAATAATTCCTTGGGTACTTGAGCATATTGTAAAGTGCATAATACGTGACATTTCCCCTGGAGTTGTATGAGATGATGACATTTTGAACATGATGGTGCAAGAAAGCCACAAGCAAGTCCTAATTGGTTCATGAGTGCATTTGCTTTGGCACATATCCCATCCATGCTGAATATTTGGCCATCCTAAGAGATTGCTACAACCTGCCTCAGTTCTCAGTAATTGACTGAGCCTGATGCAGTGGCTGTATGAGAGATGAATGGCTTACTTTCCTTGGGGTCTATGTTGAAGCAAATTTCAGCCCAGACTCTGCTTTCAGTACTACATATAAGTTCTGAACTATGTGAAATAAGATGTACATTTGAAATAATGTGGGCAGAACATTCTTCTATTCATAAATCAAATGCACTCATTATGGATATAGGATTTTTAGATGTCAGGTCCACAAAGTTTGGGGGCTCTTACATAGGCAAAAAGAACTGATTGCTTTGTTTGTAATTTATTCTATTGATTTAGAATGTAATGCTGATTTCTCATCTAATCTATAATAGAAGTTTGGTTTAGGTTTAGGGTGATATGTAAACCAACCATTCTGGCTTTAAATTTTTTTATAAAAAACATAGAGAAAAGATCTACCTCTGCAAATCTAGAGAAAAGCAGATAATCCTGCCCCCACATGTATGGTTCTCCCCTCTTTCAGGAGTGGGATTCTACCAGTTCGCACCCATTCGCTAGAACCGGTTGTTAACATTCTAAGCAGTTCAGAGAACCTGTTGTTAGAAGAAATTACTGGCCTAATCCTGTAAGGAAGGCAGGAAGGAAACATTCTGGTGTTGCTTATGGAAACTGCTTCTCCATTAACCCTTATTACATTCTTGGCAGGACTAGACTTCCTGTCTCAGGAACATCTCTGGAGTTTTTTCCCCTCCTTTGCTGGTACTTCACTTGTGCGGAGTGATCATTCAAAATTACAATGGCACTGAAAAAAGTGACTTATGACCATTTTTCACACTTACAACTGTTGCAGCATCCCCACAGTCATGAGAGGCCAGGCGAGGATATGCATGCCTCAATGTGAGTGATATTGAGTTGGCCACACCCAGCCAATAACATGACCACCAAGCCATGTCCACCCAGTCACATGACCACCAAGCCACACCCACCACCTAAGCCACACCCACAGAACCAGTTGTTAAAATTTTTGAATCCCACCCCTGCCCTCTTTATATTATTGCTCTGCCCAATCCAACTCTTGATATAACAAAAAAAGCAGCCTACAGCCATAATAATATTCTCCATAGCTAACCTAGTGTTAAATATGATCCCAACTAATGTATAAAACTTTCTTGAGCCTTGTGGGACTCTCAGGTTTGGCACAATTTAGATGAACGGCCACTAAATGTTCCATGCCAAGGCCCTGCTTCATGTTTATCAATCACCAATTCCCCTTTTTCTGAGCAGAAAGTTCTATTCCCGACAGGTTTTGTGTACAAATGCAGAAAAAAGGTCTAATTTCTCGAGAAAAGCTTCAGGGAGAAAAAAGAACTTACTTGGCTTACTGTGGCCTTGATGTGAAATATAGTGTTGTCAGAATCTGGGGCAACTGAAAATGTTAGCTGGAGACAGTTACTAAGCAACAGCCGCACCACGGGACATGAGTGAGCAGACAACTCATCATTGTCTCAGCAGCTTGGGGTCTTTGTGTGTGTGGCAAAGGAAGCAGATGTGACATTATGAATGCTCACCTGTATGACGTAAATGGCCTACATTTGAGAAACCAGATAAAATGATATTTCTTGCATGTTGGATGTTCACCTCCTGTAGAGTCTTAGTAAGAATGCCTGACACAAGCATAAAATGTTCTTACGCTGTCACTTAATTTGGAAGCTCAGTTGCTAGCAGGGAGCTCACAAATTGCCATATAGTATAATGTTATGTGGGTGTTTGTCAGTTAGCGTATTATATGATGGATGATCAAAAGGCCTGAAGCAAATGGAGAAGCACCACTTGAGCCAAGTGGAGATTCTTCTATTCCTTCCCATGGTATACATTCACTCCTATGTGACTCCTTTCTTGCTGCTCCTCAGGCTGATGAGCAAATAGTCATCCCATAGATGCCATTCTGAGGGGAATTCTTTGAGAAGCTCATTCTAAGGTGACCTGAGTCTTGCCATCACAGCCTGCTGCAGCTATCTAGCAAGGCATCACGGTGAAGACCTTTTAAAGCAACACCTGTGTAGTGACTAGCAGAGTGACAGGCTGTTTGGTTTGAAAGAAGAGTAAAAGAATTCATCTGTGTTAGAATTGAACTCCCGTCCCACAATAGAAGGCAAAGAATAAGACACCACCTATCTACAGTTTACAGCACAACACTTGCAGAATTTCCAAGAAGATTCCACAACTAATTGCACCTTGTTTCAGGTGACCCTGAGGGCACAGATAAACCAACAAGTGGCATCCATAGCTCTCAGAGAATGCTAATGACCAGATGACTACAAAGAAATACAGTCCTTCCATTCTACACCCCCCCATCCTATCAAAACCTATGCTAGCCTTCCATCCCCTCCCCTGACATCAGAACTAATGAAGCTTCTTGAATGAGAAGCAAAATATTTTCTTCTTCCTCAAGGGATAAAAAACCAATCCAGTTGCCTTTTGAAGAAAAAAGCCCGTTTGCTATAACATGTATTATTTGTTATTTCAAAAGTTCTTCCATGTTTGTGGGGCAATCCTTCTCATTCTGCACAGGAGAGGCTTGCATTCATTTCCCATAGTCCTGGTCTGATGGCATTGATGATTGAGTCTCCATTGACATATTGCAAGCCATTTTGGAGAGAACCCCTGGTATGGCAAGAGTTGGTACAGTCCAACAACTCTCTGACTCTCTGCCTAACTAATTTTGCTCTGATTGATGAAGTTGCTTGGATGAGCAATGAAACGTCTCAGATTAACAAAGATTGGTCCAGATACTACGATCAAACCTTTAGACACCTTTGGCCTGGATGATTGAATTTTCATTGACATACATCAGAACAAATGTACACCATTATGTTTTCACAGAGCATATAGTAAGTAACAAGTTGAAGTAACAATGAGTATACTAGGTATAGTATATTATCGTAGTATACTCAGCATAGCAGATTTCAGATATAATGAAAGCAATTTTAATTCAAACTTCACCTTCATTTAATTACTAATGTCTATTAAATTTGAGGATGTGCTTATTAAAAAAGATGTTACTGCTGCAAATAATACCATTTGCAGTAATGACAATTGTAATTGTACAAGTGATATAAATTCATGCAAATTATCTAATGGATATTCTGAATTAAAGAGATAACTCTCCCTGAAAGGTTCATTAAATCAATATTTTCTACATACCTTGAGTAAAAAAATTGGGAGGGATTAAGGACTCACATTTACAAGCTTCATATCAAAAATATCATATAAGTGACATCTATAAAGGTCATAAAGAATGTATCCTATTGTATATACCCATCACATCCAACCCACAGCCCATGGGCCACATGCAATCCTGGACAGCTAGTAATGTAGCCCCACAAAATCATAAATTTTTAACATTATCATGTGATTTTATACACATTGCTATATTATATATTTAATATGTGGCCCAAGACAATTCCTCTTCACTCAGTATGGCCCAGGCAAGCCAAAATGTTGGACGCCCATAGTTAGACCATTGATCCATAGAGCCTAATTCAATCAACAATGACTAGCAAACCAGCCTTGCTATGTTTATACAATTGCACAGGCCAAAACAAACCAGCAGGGTAATTGTCCCGTGACAGTGAAAAAATGTTTTATTTTTACATTCTGGTGACAAAGTGACATGTTTCCATAATAAAGATTTGTGAAATGAACATATGTGCATACATCTTTACCTGTACATCATCTGATTGATAGCCCATGCTTCATCTATATTTTAAAAAAATAAATCCTAATTATTTCTGCCAAAAAGTTCCAGTGCAAGTTGTCATGTTGCAATAGCCAGTTTTAACAACTGCTGTTGCATGACACTATGATTTGAAGAGAGGATTGGCTAATCTGCTACTATTGATTTGGAGTTTGGTCTCTTCACATTAACCTTGACTCCACCTGCTCTTCTCTTATCAACATAGTTAAAATTCATAGACAACCTCTCTTTCCCCTCTTTTCTTGCTGGGGATTACTTGATGAAGGAAATTTTTGTAGCAGAAGTAGCTTTATTTATTTTTTCATAAGGTGATTATAACATAAATGGAGAGATTATAGTTGTTTAATTGTTTATTTTACTTGAAAAAGTTGAACTTCTGCATTTCTCCCTGAATTACAGTTCTGGAAGTACTATTCTTACTGCTATATCCTTGCAATTAGGATCAAAAAAGAAGAGAGACTTTTTCTATTTACATGTGAATCTTTGGCATTCCATTGCATTTTGCTGTATCTAATAATCCAAGAAGATGGTACGCTACTTGCCTTTTTTTCTCCAGAGGAAACTGAAAGTCACCCTTTGTCTTTTTCTCCTTATGGTTGTCCTGATACACATTGTGATAGATTTTGTTCCCTCTGCTGATTTTACGTCCTGTGGGTGTCTATCTAAAGCAACAGGTACCAAGGACCGTTCATCACCCACCTCCACATTAGCAGCTCAGAATAAGCTGAATCTGAGGAATCTTCAGGATTTTAGCAGCAGTAACAGCTCCCTGGAAAAAGGATTTCACTCAACAGAAGGTGTGTCACATGTGGGTGGCCTCAGCAATGTGGATCTCCAAGATGCCAACATCAAGCAACCGGAAACCAAAGAAAAACCCAGCCAGAAAATCAAATCCAAATTGTCTGCTCTTTTTCATCATCCTCTGTATAAGATCCCAATCCCAAAAATCACAAGGAAAGACAAACTATTTGGGATCAAGCCAAAGATGAATCTCTTCATAAAAAGTGATGAACGGTGAGAGATCCTCTTTTTCTTCTGGATGACTTATTCAGTTTGGTGTGTTCTCTTCTCGGATGAGTTTGTGTCTATTCTTGCCCAGATTCTATTATTAAATGCATAATATTTTCTTTCCCCATTTTGGAAGATTCTGATTCTTGGTACGGTAGGTTGTGTGGATAAGAAGCCAGACTAAGATTATGTTGTGTAATTTGATTCTAATTCATCCCTGAGGCATTACCTCCCATGTGACATAGTATCACCTTCTCCTCATTAGTGATGACAATCAGTTCAAGCAACTTTTCATAAAGTGAAATGGTTGCTGAGTGAACTGGTAAGAGAGAGAGAAAGGAAGAGATGGTGGGAAGATCACTGATTGTTGCCATTTCATTCAGATAAATTCTGTCCTACAGTCATGATCCATTTTCTCCCTTTTTCTGCCACTGTTGATATAAGAAGCATAATGCCCACCTAGTATGGAAAGTACTGTAATCCGAGCAGAAATGGTCTTCTACCATGAGTACTTCCTAAGACCTGTATAATAATGTCTAAGAACAATAAATAAAATCAGTACCAAAACACTCCACTCTTCTGTGATATGATTTTGCTCATATCCATCATTATCCCATCCTTTGTAGCCCTCATTTATTAAACACCATCCATTGACAACCCTGACTTGGTCTGTAGGAACTACATTCTCTGGTGTACATGCCATCCAAAGTGACATACAAAGTTTTGCTAAAGTGTTTCATTTATTCAATATAAAAGATATGATCCAAACAAATAAATAAATGTAATATCCTTATCAAATGTCAGTTGCTATAAAAAGGAGCCCATATACAGTATGCTGGCCAGAAATGAGATCCCATCAAACATAGTTACATATACAAATATATCATTGCAGATACAAATGCACAGAATTTTCTGTTCCACAGTAGGAAACTGTGGGATGTGATGCACTACATGGCCATTTCAACAGATACAGGTTTAAGCTGTAATAGAAAAATGAAATCAGAAAGTCAGGTCATGCAACTATGTTTTGAAATATGCCAGCACACCAATTCTAATGTTTAGCTTCTTCATTCTACATTATTACTATGGTTGGTTGCAGTCAGCCAGATGTTTAGACTGGATTTGGCATTTTTGTTATCAAGGCCTTCCCAAGAACCTGGAATAGGTAAATGTTATTGTTTAATAATATTAAAGGTATCATTGCATGATGTAAGCTTCTTCAACAAAACTGCCTTTGTGATTGACAATGATGATTTGATCAATGCCAATGGTGTTCAAGTGGTGCTCCAGATGTTTTGGATTTTATCCAAGGCACCTATTGCTATTGGTTTTTGCTTTCATTTGCCACAGTTGTTCTACTAGTTGCAGGTTTTTATATTTTGTGTTTTTGTATGGTTCTTTCTCTTCTGTTCTGGGAAAAATAGGAAGAAGTATTAAAAATGTTCACCACCTATTATTTATAAAAATAAGCAAGACAGGAAACAAACAAATGCTTGTCTATCCATATTTTAAAATCCCAAAGCACTTTAACTTCTTCACATGTACTATTACTTTGTCTTTTTTTTTTTTGGTCCCATCAGTTCTTGCTTGCAGGCAACTTGCCTTCTAGACGAAGTACTTGCTTGCAGGCAACATCTCTTATCCTGACATTTTTTGCCTTTCTTATCCACAATTGCTAAGTTTGGAGTGCTTTAGCTGGTGTTGGCCTTCATCTGCACTGAGTTCTTTATAAGAACCTAGGATGGGGTTTGTTTGTTTGGTGAGTTGGTTTTTTGGTTACTTCTAGAGCAGGGCTATCAAACTCACATCATCACGGCAGCATCATGTGATGTAGTGGGACTTTTTTCTGCTTCGCTAAATTGGGTGTGGCCAGCATGTGACACATCCAGCCCATGGGCCAGAAGTTTGACAGCCCTGTTCTAGAGAATTCAGGATAGCTTTAATGTGTTGATATCTTTATCCTGTAGGTTCATTGTGCTTGTAATTCAATGTGTAAATTCAGTATTGATACATAGGATGTAATAATAACTCAATAGAGTTCTTGATTTTGTGTGTTGGATCTGCAGAATCATAAGCAACAATGCATTTCAGAACCAAAATCCTCACCCTGCTTGGCTCAATTTTTACTCTGGAATCAATCGCTATGAACTGTATGCCCGCCATGATCCTTCTCGCCATGACTTGATGGAGGATTTGGCCAAACAGAAAATTATCAGCTCAGGTATTACATAGCATCTAATTCATTTTTTGTTTTCTCATTCTGTTTTCTCTTTTCTAGTGTTTACTTTTCTAGTGTTTCCTTTCTTTGGTTCGGTATCAACCTGTTAAATTATCCACAGAGAAGTGTGTTAGAGGAAGGAGGGGTCTCTTCTGCAGATGAGCTACTTAGTACTAGCCAACCAAGCTAGGGAGTTATCTTTTTGTAGCCCACAGCCACACTTTTGGTTAACAAATTTTGCCTGAAATCCAATGGTACAAGGTGATGACATATTGGGCAGATTAGATTTCCCTGTTTATTTGTGTTACTGAATGTTTTATTTAGATATGTTAAACCAACCTGACATCTTATCTTCTTCCTTCCTCCTCCACCTGCTGTGAAAATGAACTTTTTATGTTTGGTAATTTGTTTCTGGGCTACTTGATTGCCAAAAGTGACGTTTGGGAGCCAGATAAGCTCATTAATTACATCCCCCATGGCAAGAGTTTGCCAAGATTCTCAGTGCAAACAAAAGACAGCCATGTTTCTATTTATTATTTTTAATATTTTTTTTATTTAAATACATACATGCCACTGACAAATACATGACAGCAGAATTAAGCAGCTTGATAGCTATATCTCCTCTTTAACATGTGCACAAGCATACTATAATATATAGTATACATATGCTGTATTTTGTTATAATAATTCTAACAGAAAAATACTGAAAGATGGAGATTGGGGAAATAATAATTTGATTTTGAATCTAAAATGTATAAAAAACCTGAAGCTGATGAAGAACATAAGAACACTGTAGTACTATTTAATGGATACTGGATGTATGTATACTGGATATTATATCCAAAAGAGGTTCTAGCACAGTAGGTTGTCAGATCAAAAATTAAATTTAGGGGTCAATTATTATTAAATTACTGCAGAACCACATACAGAGGGTAAGCAGTCTCTAAGTGGTAATAAAATCACTGCAGCCAATGGTCACAAAACCCGGTTTGGTAGCCATCATATTTAGGATGAAATTTGGTGTGAAACACTAAAAGTGTGAGAAAGAAGCCTACTTCGTAATCATATCTTTAAAACCAGGGTTTTTATTCAATGAACACTTTTCAAGGAGGTATCCTCTTTGAATGAACAAGATAAATGGATCATTTTATTCTCATCTATAAAATAAAAAATGCAGCAATCTGAATCGCTTCATGAGCTCTAATGCTTGTTAATGTCATTTCAGTTCAGAAGCCTGGAGGAACTCAACTGAAGCTTATCATGACTTTTCCTAATCATGGCCAAGCTCTCTTCAAACCTATGAAGTAAGGCACCTTGATACAGTAATTGTGATCCCCTCCAAAATGGGCTGTTTGGATATGCTGAGAGTATAATTGCAAAGGCAATTCTAGCTGAAAATTTGGGGATTTCAGGCTGACATGGGAGAGTGCTATTTACTTATATCATGGACCTGAGCATCTTTTATAGCATTGCACCAATCCTTGATGGCTTTACATTAAACCTACACTTTATAAATTAATTGGTAGCTAAAGCATTTTTGTATAGCAAGCTGATAAGGTAATCCTGGCATTGGCATCTGTATCCCAAGTGAAAAAGACGTTTGTTTGCTAAACACACTTAGGCAAATGGCTCTATCAAAAGCAATTAAATGTAAGCATCAAAATGTAAAGTCAGGTACGAAGGCTACTGACTAGAAGGATGCCTCCATATAGGTTTCTTGGCAAAAGGTCATAAAGGCTATTGTAGGAAAATAATACATGTGCCCCAGTGGTAGGATTCAAATGTTTTTACTACCGATTCTGTGGGCGTGGCTTGGTGGGTGTGGCTGGATACTGTAAAATCTCCAGAGGTGGTATTTGCTGGTTCTCCGAACACTCAAAATTTCTGCTACTGGTTCTCCAGAACTGGGCAGAACCTGCTGAATACTACCTCTGATGTGTCTCTTTGCTGGGAAGCCTGTTTCTATATCCCAGGCCAGAAGTGGTATTCAGCAGGTTCTGACCAGTTCTGGAGAACCGGTAGCAGAAATTTTGAGTAGTTCGAAGAACCAGCAAATACCACCTATGACTGGAGATTTTACAGTATCCTTCCCTTGCCATGCTCACCAAGCCACGCCCACAGAACCGCTAGTAAAAATATTTGAATCCCACCACTGATACCAGACAGTGTATTTACAAGGCTGGCATTGAAACAGAAATGGATTGACTTGCTCTGTATTTCTCATGGAGTTTCATCTGCAGAAAAAATGTCATGGCCACAGGAGTAATATAATAAATCATAAACATCTGCAAATCTGATTACAAATTAAAGGTGGAATTTAAGTGTTCTTTCCAAAATAGGCACATCTCAGTGTATTGGGAACATCTGGGAAAATAGCTCAAAATACTAACAGGCAGTGTCATACTTTAATTAGAATTAGAACCAAAAATATTCAAAGCTTCAGAAAAAAAAAATAACATTTACAACCCTTTAAAGCATTTTGTAATCCCTATATCCTAGCAAAATAACAGCAACCTTGCATTTCTGTTCCCTATCAGCATGCCTGCTTTCCCTAACTTAGTGCCATATTCATAGGTTTTCGGATTGATTGCACTGAATATTTAATAGAAATGTCCTTCAACTTACTCTGAAATTTTCTACCACAAGATGGTAACATATGGCGCTATAGTAAAAAATAGTTCTCCTTATTACCACCCTAACACAGTTGTAGCTACTGCAGAGTTCGGTTTTGATGGAGAGGTGTGACCTCTGCTGGTGAAAGGTTTAAATTGAAGTTCTTAATGTTTTTCAAGCTGGAATCCACAATCCCAACACTTCCCTTTTGGAAATAATGGACACTGTAATCCAAACATTCCTGGAAAGGTCTGGATTGAGAACAATCTTTAAAATGATAAAATTGAATAACTTTAATTGGATGCTAGTTTGTTTGAACAGATCCAGCTGAAAGACTGTAACTCTACAAAGCATGCACTTTGCATACAAAATGTCTCCAACATCTCCAGATAGATCAGGGGTGTCAAACTCAATTTCATTGAAGGCCGCATCAGGGTGGTGTTTGACCTAAGGGAGCCAGAGTGGGCATGGCCAGCTTGATGTCACTCGTGTCAGGGGCGCCTGTGGTGGACTGAGCGCTCTGCCAGTGAAAATGGATTCACGAGCTCCATTTCCAGCCCCAGCAGCCTCCTGCAGCCCTCTGCAGTGAAACTGGAGCTTGGGGGGATGTGCATGCCCCCCTGGGCCCCATTTTTAGCCGTGATGGCTTTCTGTAGCCCTCTGCCAACATAAACGGAGCTCTGCAGGGGCCATGCGTGGCCCTCCAAGTTCTGTTTTCACTGGCACTCTGGGCTGGTCCTTCACTATTTCCAGGGCGGGCCCATGGGCCAGATCTAAGCAACCCGGGGGCTGGATTCAGCCCATGGGCCTTGAGTTTGACACCCTTGAGATAGATTGACAAAATATCAACCACTTGAAGCCACACGAGTTACTACTGCTGTAAAATACCGAGATGATGGATGGAAAGCTGACTTGCTGTAAGAACCTTGCACATTTCTTGACAATTTCCCTATATATGAGCATCTGCCAAATGTTGACATCTTCCCAGAATTCCCAGTAACACCATATTGTTGGGGAATTCTGTGAGCAGGATGAAGTATCTTAGGGAAACTATGATATCTGGTATTTTTGTTTCTGATATCTCATTCTACTCTTCTCTCTGCCTTCCTAGGCAAACCCGAGACCAGGAAACTTCAGAAGACTTCTTTTACTTTTCAGACTTTGAGCGACACAATGCAGAAATATCAGCTTTTCACTTGGACAGGTAAGTTCAGTCTAATTCTCTTCTTCAGAATATACCTATGCTTTATTTTTGGGAAGTGGTTAGTAAAAATATTGCCATAGTTTAATCCTAGACAAATTCAGGTTTTGGCATTTTCTGTTGCAGAATAATCCCAGTAGTACAGGAAAAAAAACTCTACTTAGGCTCTTTCGAGCTGTTGTTATCAGAGTAGACAAGGCTGAGTAGTGAAGACAACTTCCTGCCCTGAATGTGAGTAGAAAGAATGATGAGATATACACCATTATAATAAATAACAATATAATAAAAATAACAGTATAACTAGCCTGATGCTTTAAAACGGGGTTTGAGAAGACACCTGAAAAAAACAAGGACACCAACGGGTCACTGAATAAATCAAGCAAGAGTTCTTAGTCAAGGCTCAAATGACCAGACTCAAATTATCTTACTTCGGACATATTATGTGGAAACCTGGAGAAGGGTCTAAATCTGGGGAAAGTGAAAGGAAAGAGGAGGATAAGGTGACAGCAGCAAGATGGTGGATTCAGTTACAGTGGCAATGACTGCAATGTTGGAAAACTTGAAAGACCAGATTAGGACAAATCACCATGGAGAAAATCTATTTATGCCATTGCTAGGAATTGAAAATGACTTGATGGCACATAATCAATCAAAATAGTGGTTTTGTCTGATATGAGATCCAGGCATACAACAAGCTATAGAACAGGGTTGGGTAATCTATAACCTTTTAGATTTTGTGGGAATATAAATCTGAATATCCTTGATTACAGGGTTATGGTGTTTACTTAAAGGAAACAGGAATCCTAACACTTCTGGATGACCACAGGTTTTCACCATTTGATCTAGTGTGTTGAGACCATGACAAAGTTATTGGTAGCCATTTTGAAACTCTAGCTCTGCTTTGTGTATCCAAGATTACATTGAGTATTCCGTGTTTATATGAGGTCTGGGCATTTCAAAGCTTATCCATCACTGAGTTCAGATTAGCCTCAGTTAAAAACTATCCTTGAAGGGTACAGCCCAATTTCTAGCAGGGTTTACTACACCTTTGCCCTGGGTCTCTAAGCAGTTGGGAAGCCCCATTTAATTTTCAGAGGAAAGGGAGCATTCTGAGGAATTTAGGTGAGGCTTCTAATTCACTCAGAGCATTGCTGTTATAATCCAAACTCTCCAAAATAAGAAGCAATCCATCAAAGAATCCCTGTTCAAGATCTTGGAGCCACGGCAGCCCTTCATATAGGGATTGCTCACGGCTCGGCGGCCAATGACAGGGCTTTGAATCTCCCGCGATCGGCTCGGCCAATCACGGTTGATTCTTAGCGCACCAATCACGGCTGTTCAGTTGACCAATCGGGTTGCGGTCCGTGTGGACCAATCAGGATTCAGTGTTTGGAGTATGCTAATATAGAACAGAACCAATAATAAATACTTTGTATTGATGTTTTGTTGAGTTTATCTACCTCTGTAGAGAATACAGAAAAATTTCCATAAAGGATCTGGCAGAAGATGATACAAGATACCTTTCAATGCACCCAGTCCATAGCAACTTGCTAAGCTAGAAGGCAAATCTCAGGTTGAGGCTTGAGGCCTACATCATAATGTGGTGGCGAATACAACTATTAGAAAAAAATAATTGATATCATTTGATTGTAGGTTCTATGACATTAAAACTGTATAGGCTAAGCTATCTATTCATTATTCCAACTTTTCTCCTGCATTTGCCTTTTCCATGCAGGATTTTGGACTTTAGAAGAATTCCTCCAGTTTCTGGACGCTTGGTGAACATAAGTGAGGAAATTCGTGACATTACAACAGATAAGAAACTGTTTAAAACGTTTTTCATCTCCCCTGGTGAGTATCTACCTGCCCCATTCTTGACATCTTTCCCCCAACTTTGGAAACAATGAATAATTGTATCTTTGAATTTATGTGGGTAATTGTGTAAATCTTTCCCAATAAACTGCCATTTAGATTTAGTGTGGCTGCTACAATTCCTGGCCAGCTTCACCACTGCATTGTATTAAATGCAACAGTTTAGAGAAGACCAAGGCAGATTAACTATGACAGGAATTTAAAGTATTCCCTGCTCTCTTCAAATCTATAAGACAGGTGGTGACATGATCTATCACAGAAAAAATGTCTCTGTGTTGCAGTTCCCTAATTTTTGCTTCCCTTCATTTTGCCTGCATCAACCAGCTGGCAACACCTGTTTCTTTGGTGAGTGCTCTTACTATTGCTCCACTGAACATGCTTTGTGTGGAAAACCTGACCAGCTTGAGGGATCCATGGCAGCCTTGTTGCCTGACAAAACGATAGCTGAACGCCAGTCTTGGCGGAGTCCCTGGAGGCGTTCCTATTCCAAGTTCAAGAAAGCTGAGTGAGTATCCAAAAGGAGAAAAGAAAAACCACTACTTAAAAGACAAAAAGAATATTCTAGAATCTAGACAGAGTGGAGACAAATGAGATGGTTGGGGAAACAGGATAATCAAAGAAAGAAGAAAGGGAGGCACTTAGTCTAAACTCAAGGGAATCTGTACAAACCATGAAGGTACATCCCTCAGCCCACCAATTTGGCCATCTTGCCTCCCCGCCCCATTTCTGTTTTGCATCTATTTTACTTTTTTTAAAAAAATCTTCTTCATTTTATGCTCATGTGAATACCACACCTACAAAAGTGGCTCCTTTATCACTAGTGGCTTGGAGAAGCTGATTCTGTTTAAAATAGATTAAAGTATGGGTCTGAAGTTGCTAATAGAAATAGATGTTCTTTTCTATATGTAAATATAGATAAATATCTTGAGCTTCAGATACAAGATCAAAAAAGATTCAGAAATCTAAAAATTTTTAAAAAGTAAACTTACAACCATGACAGAACATACATATCAACAGAAAGCTATATTTCCCTATTCATCATTGTATAAATAAATGCTGATCTGTTACCTGTCTGGTACAATATTCTGGAAATGAAGAAGAGGAAATGAACCTCTTATTTTAAGAGGTTGAGACATACTGCTTCATACCTGTGGTATGTCACAAAAATACATCATATTTCTGGGCCACTTTCTCTATTTCTGCTGCTTTTCTTAAGATCTCAGGATCAAGGTTCACCCTATCAGCAATGGGAAGTGCCAGCACATTTTCATTGCTTTGAATAGGGAGCAAAGGGAGCAAAATTTCATTGTGCCATTTATTCTCATGGTAATTTTACTGGCAGAAAGAGGAAAAGATGCTTCAGAGATTTTCCTGGTTTCAATGTCATCACTTAGTATGCATCTGCATGAGTGGAAAAAGAGAGGAGTCACTTGTAGATCAGCTCACACAGCAAAGTATTTTGGCCTTTGTTTAAGTAATTGCTGCATCATGCAAACAAGCTCAAAAGAATTTCTGTACCCCTACAGCGTGCATTTGCAAAATGACAAAATGCATAAGGTGACCTGAGGAAGCAGTTCAACCAAAGCTGCTTTTTTCCAATATGAGATTTATTTATTTTGCTATTAAGACTACATGTACACTACCATTTTCCAATACACCTCCGCAGTTTAAAATAGACAAAATAACATTAAAATGAAGAATAACTAAATTATATTTGAAAACACATCATGGATATTTTATGTTGGTAAATATTCTTACACTCAAAAGTGTACAACAGTGGTGGTTGGGAAAGGGAGAGAAAACTGGATAAACAGAATACTAAAAGTGAACTACAGTAAATGATTAACTATTAGAAACCTGTCCAAAGCAATGAATTTTTGAGGCCTTTATGAACAGAGACATTAGGCCAAAAATTTAGCAGATATTTCACAATGGCTGACCTTTCCAGGTGGGAGCTGAATGAAAATTACTGTGCTCAGGTTCAAAAGACACCACCCTATAACAACACGGCCCGACTTCTGAGTCTCATTGACATGACCATACTTGATTTTCTCATGGGTAAGTATGTTAATGTATTTATATTGGGGACAAGGGACCTGGATCGGTGGTAGCAGAAGGCAGGGGCAGAAGGCCCCAGATCAAGCCTCTGATTCAGACTCTGTCTGGCATTTCCATTGCAGATGTTTCAGCTCAGCTTGCAGGAGGGAGACTAGGGTGCTAAAGTTTCTTAACTATAAGGCCCATTGCATCTTGCAAAACAAAGGATCTTTGTCTGTGTAAAACTGGCTGCCCACCAACTTCTCCAGAATAGTCTTTCACTGGCAATACATTGTGCTGAAATTCACAAGAAAACAATAGTTCCTTCAGTAACGTTTCTCAAAATGGCTTGTTCTGGCCTTTTTTTTTTTTTTTAGCATTGCCTTACAATTCCAGAAGGGGACATTCTTTTTCTCAGCTGGTTATCCCACTTCAGAAGAATCAAACTCAGACCAGTTAAAACTTGTCACAGTAAGGAATGTAGAGCTCTGCAACTTAACTAACTTTCAGAACCCTGAATAATTTCAGAAAGTTCATTGAAGGCCTTATATATTCACCATTTACCAAGGCCTACTGTTGGTTGATTTAGCCCAGTTCTGTCTAACTGTCAGTGGCTCTTGCAGGTTTCATTAACAGGTTTCATTTTATATAGTAAAAAGTGTAACTTATTTTAGCTCTTTTTTTCAGCTTCAGGTTAATATGCAAACAAAGTTTCACCTTTCAGACTTACACAGAGACAAAACTTTAATCTTTTCCTTAGGGTTTTCAGGATGCATGTAAGAAAATTCAGATAAAATGTGGCTTGCTAAAAACTATTCAAATTTCTACTCAACATACAATGGTTTATTATAGTTTATAATGGCAAACATGTGTTGCTATGCCCTCTAGTGGAAGCATTGCATTTTTTTCATATTCATATCCTATACCCCATATTTCAACAATAGACATATACAGTATAAGCATTTAGAGGATTGGCCATCCGATCTATTCCCAATTTTTGCTCCAAAAATGCAACTGCTTATTATGTATTGTTATTACAATGTTTAACTGACCAGTCAGAGTAACCTATTTGATTAATGGGCAACAGAAGCAGAAACATAGCATCTTAAAAGGTAATATAATCTATTCAAATACTGATAATCTGCCTTGTTAAATGCTCCTCAGTTAGAGGATTAGAAAAGGTTTACACACATTCACTTTCCCTTCCTATAAATCAGGTTGTATTCTACATGACCTTTGGCTTTGAAAATTCATATTCTTTATCTCTTGCAGTATAAGTAATATAGTTCATCCATTATTTAGCATGTTTAGCCCTCTTTTTAAAATGTAGACTCAGACAAATACACTTCTTACAGTGGCAGAGGAGTGATATATGTTTATATCCTAATATTATATATTCTAATGGCCACCTAAGAACTGGATCACTCTCAAGATAATTCTCTGTCTGAACAGAATCATGTCAGAAACAGTACTGAGTGACGGTTGGCATCCATATTTCCCAAAGAACAAATGTACTATGTACTTTTGGTCTTATAGCTCTGGTATGGGCAAATTTTGGTGACACATTTTCTTCCACTGCTTTTTCTTTATCTGCAGGAAATATGGACAGGCACCACTATGAGACATTTGAAAAGTTTGGTAACCACACTTTTTATCTTCACCTGGACAATGGCAGAGGGTGAGAAAGTGCTGCTATCTTCCTAAGGGTGGGCAAGAGATTTTGGAAAGCTTTTGAATTCTGACTATAATTATCTGTATCTTTGAAAGCAGGGCTAACACCAGAGGTTATCTCAGTACATTCTTCAGATGTATGGGGGATGCGATGTGCCTGGCTACAAAATCTGGAACTGTAGCTCCAACACATTTTGGAAAGTCCCAGTTTAAAAAAACAATAACAACTATTCTGCACTAATTCAAAATAACTCCCTCCCCCCCATTGTGGGATAGACTTTGAAAGCAAGAGTTTACAAGTTAAGGGTTTCAAACAAGGAAGAGCTAGTTGCAAAGTAGCCTTGTGCTAGAATCCAGTGAACATAGTCTCTGCTGTCTCAGCATTTGGCAAATATTGTTTGGATGCCAAGGAATACTTATCTACTGGCACTATTTACGCATGATAAGGAGAATTATAATTTACTTCAAGACTACAGCGATAGTATTATTCTAAAATTTAACAGTAGAATGACATTATATAAAATATAACATTACAAGCAGTATGATTAGAAGAATTCCTACCAACTGTACCATGTTTTACCTCTGGATAATTCATTTCTTCTCAGTAACAGAATAAGATAACTACATTATCCAGCTGTGTTTAATTTTCACATTGTATTTCAACAGCAGCATTTGAATTGTGTACAATAACCCCTTGAGATGAACTCATGTCATGTACTGATCAGTCTGTTGGATTAGACTGGGAGATCCAGATTCAAGCTCCAAGTAACAGGATTATTCACTGTTTTAGTCCAACATATATCAGGATTGTTGTGGGGATAAAATTAGAGGACAGAATGCAGTTTTATGCCTCTTCTTTCTCTGAAGAACAGGGAAATTGTTTGTAATGGATAGCATCCTTTCTCCCCCAAACTATGCCCTAATCTGCTATTTTTATTCTTGTTCTCAGGTTTGGGAGACATTCTCATGATGAAATGTCTATTCTAACTCCTCTTCGTCAGTGCTGCATGTAAGGATAATTTTTTACCTCTCAAAATTTGCATTTGCTGGGGTAATATAATTTAGGATGGTTTAAGAAAGTTCCAGATTTCTGCAATGAAAAACTAATGTTACTCGTAAATAAGATTGTCAAGGTGCTCTCTCAAAAGTGCTGTTTTTTTAGTATGAGGACATCCATCACACATCCAAAACCTCCATTGTTTAGTTTGTTCAGGAGAGTAGATCGTATGTGGGAGCGAGAGTAATTTCTGTTGACCTGTTTCTTACCACTAGTCCAATATTGCTGAGACGACTCAAAATCCTTTATTTATTTAATTGTGAGATTTATTTGCCACCCATCTCATATCCAATGATTTGGATACTTCTTGACTGTGTAAACAACAAAAGGCATGCCCATTAATTACATTTACCCATACAATGGTCCTGACAGCCTAATTCAGTCTTTCTCAAAGAGAATGTCCTCAAAGAGATATTGGGCTTCCATAATTTGTTTGTAATCTGAACCAGAGAACCTTTTGTAAACAGCACCAAATTAAGGCTTATTCAATTGAGTCATAAGGAATGGATTTTTCCCAAATACCCATAGCATAATATTATTTTTAAGCTTAGCAATTAGTGCAGAAATTATAGTACTTTACTGAATTCCATAATAATTATGAGCATTTCTCACCTTGACAGTTCTAAGACTTCTCATGACTGTCCTGATACATAATGGTATTTCAAGTCCATATGCATTTATTTTAATTAAAATGCATTAATAGAAATACTAAATATATTTTCTTTCTCCTGTATATATTCTCTTTTCCTTTTTGTTATTGTCTCCTAGTATTAAAAAGTCAACTTTCCTGCGGCTGCAACTGCTTGCTACTGAGCCTTTTCGCTTGAGTGATGTCATGCGTGAATCATTAGCCTCAGATCCCCTGTCTCCAGTCTTATCAGAACCTCATCTGGAAGCATTGGATCGACGACTCAAAAAGATATTGGATATGGTGGAAAACTGCAAGAAGGCAGATGGACATAAAGAAGTAATAGTCGATGACTTAAAAGGAAACCAGTATTTTTAGTTCACAGTAGCTAGAGAAGTCTCTACTGTAGGTAAGACACTAGTGGTCTTACCTACTGTATACATATAATAACCCCAACCTGCTATTTCTGTTTACTCATGAAGAAATTATTTCAGATCTACCATTGCTATTTATTGGGGAGGGGGGCATCTATAGTTTCTTGAGTTCCAATATGGAACTGTGAACTTTGTCCACTGCCAGAACAGACCATTTGTTCATTTAAGTAAGGTCTGGATGACCTGTTGCCTTAACAGTCATGCACAGCGAGAGATCAATTCTGACTATGGTGCCAACTTCCAGTCAATTCCTCCAGGCTGCCTCTTGAGAGAGAAAAGAGTATCAGGAGTAAAAAGGGATTGGAGGCTGGGGAGAGTTCATAGTGTCTCTTGGGTCACCAGTTCCCTGAAGTTGCCCAGGAGGTTCCCTCAGCTGCTCTTGATAGGAAAAAAGTTATCTACTTCTGACAACTTCTAACCTGTGGTTCTCCAGATATTCTTGTACAACATCTGCTAGCAACATCCAGAAGCAACGGCCAATGAAATAGCCAATGAAGGTTGCTGTTCAAAAGCATCTTGACAGACACAGGTTGCCTACCCGTCCTTGGATAGGTGGATTCAAAGGAAAACATACACACATAGTTACATGAATGATTTAATATGGCTGCCCACGAACTGGTTTTTATGGCCTTTTGGATGGAAATTTTGTTTAAAGCAATTGAAGAAATACTATTGTAGCTACTGGTCAATAACTGTATGACAAATTTATTGGGAACTTCAGGTATGAGTGTTCTTATTTCTCCAAGAATATAACAAATGAATGAATAACAAATTGTTTTAATGATATTTCAGGGGAAAGAAGCCAAGATATATTTTCTGCTGAAAATGACAAGCAAATGTGCCATGGTTTATTCAGGGTATTGTGTTAACTCTGAAAATATTCCATCATGTTTATTAATTGTGCCTCAATGTTAATATATATCTTTTTCAAGTTTTTCACAGCAACAGATTTTCTAGATTCTGTTAAATAAGAGTGTAAGATGAAAATAAATACCCAGAATATGATATAAATATGTGTTTAACTTCTATGTTAGCTATACCTATGGGATGCAACAGACAATTTTTATCTTATATTGAAAATTAAGCTTCAATACAGGATCATCCTCAATTTTGACCTATTGAGGCCAATTGGCAGCACATCTGGAAAAAGCCCAAAATGGATAAATCTCTGATTTGATGTATATTCATTGTGCACAAATATATAGATAGGGATATAGCTCTGTTAGTCTTATGCAATTAAGAGTCAAACACCTTAAGAATTAACAAGTTTATTGTAGAAAAACATTTCACAGACTAAAGTCATCAGATGCAAAGAATTTCAATCCATAAAAATGTATACCATAACAAATTATAATTTCAAAGGAATTAAAAGACTTGGTCCTTGATACAGTAGATTAACAATTGTCCCTATGAAAATGTTATGACCAAGAAGTCCAGGATGCATAATCACCTAACTAAATCCTAGTTGCATTAGACATGCTTTAACCATTATACATTTATAAATGCATGAGAATTATGATCATAATAAGTTTTTATCTGTCACCTTTATAACAGAATACTTAATTTGATTCATTAGCTCAGACTTTGTGCTAAAGCTCATATACTTTGTAGAGGGAAAAATGAAATGAAAAAGCAGAGTTTAAAAACTTTAAGTAGTGTTAAAGTATCTGTAGAAAATCACACAGATTGCCTGGTAGTTTCCAATCCAACTTCTACCAGGTCAAAACCTCCTTAGTTTCTTGAGATTAACCAAAGTGGGATTAATGAACCACCTAGGTGACTTGTAATTTTTACTGAGTTAACTTGGTAGCATATGCTCACTGGCATATGCTTTACTCTTTTTTATCTGGACACATTGACATCCTGTCCTAACTTGTGAACATGGAGTTGTTATAAGCATAAATTGTGAATTATAACTTGTAACCCACCCAAAGTAGCTGTCTCTTTTTAGAATCTTGGCAGTCAGCACTTAGGGCCAAGGAGGAAACAGTCAAAGCCTACTGTGATTGGGCAACAAAGAGCAGAGCTGAAATTCATTAGCTGCTGGACAATCACCCCTCTCACTTCATAAAAGGTATCAGAGAGTAAATACAGGAAATTGACAAACACAAGATTGAAGTCCATTTCAACCTTTGTTATTGTGGGGTCACTTGCACCTAAGATAAATATCTGCACTGACCCTTTTTCTGATCATATGGAATTGTACAGATGCTCTTTTTCTAGTTCCAATAAAATAAGGGAGGCCTGCTCTTTCCTCCCCTCCTTTGTTGAAAATCTGAGGTGAATAGGGAAAATAGGAGCCCATTTTCCAAAGCACCTGAAGGCCAAAGAGGAAATAATGGCTGAAAACTGATCAAGGAGAAATTCAACCTAGAAATAAAGAGAAATTTTCTGACAGTGTGAACAATCAACCAATGGAACAGCTTGCCTTTAGAAGTTGTGGGTGCTTCATCACTGGAAGTTTTCAAGAAGAGTCTGGACAGCCATCTGTCAGAAATGGTATAGGAACTCCTGCTTGAGCAGGGATTCGACTAGATGACCCGCAAGGTCCCTTCCAACTTTGTTATTTATTTATTTAAGAGTTATAATTCAGAAAACAAAATGTAAACAGAGAAGGCAAGCTACAAAAAAGAAACAGATTCTAGTGGAGGCTGACTAGTGATTAGAGGGCATGCTCAATTCACCCAAAACTTACCCAACTAGCAATGCCCACAAAAGGCAGCAGTGACTTTATGATACAAATCCCTTACTACTTGTGCGGACATCTGATGAAAGCAGCATATTTTGCAGCATGAAAATATGATATATATTTCACTGCTTGCTCCTCTTACCACAGCTCTGAACTAATCTCTATGCACTTTCCAGATAATGGGAGATAGACTATTATGGATTTTATATACCACAAAGCTGTGAAAAGTTTTCAACTTCAGAGGAAAATATCTACATTTATTTTTAAGATGACTTAGAACTTGTGCTGGGAACAAGATGAGAAGAATATCATGTATCCAGAGGGAAAAATGGAATTGCCAGATCGTAACGAATAATGACAGGCCCAGAGACTAGTATTAAAGGTTATATTTCCATGCATCTATTTTTGCTGCTTAGCTTTAGGATCTTTAAAGTATTATCTATTAGTTTTTAAGTTTACAACTAAGTATGTTGGCATATGCTGTCCTTCACTAATTATCCCTGTTCTGACACAATGCACCTGCTGAATGATGCTGTTCTTACATACCTAATGGAAAGGGATGGGCTCATTTTCCAATCATTTTCCCCACAAAAGTACCAACTGCAAATGGGAGAACCATCTCTCCCACAGTTAGATTAATTTAGGTGAATGCTTACACACAAGGATCCCCAAACTTGGCAACTTTAAGACTTGTGGACTTCAACTCCCAGAATTCTCCAGCCAGCATAACTATGAGAGAATTCTGGGAGTTGAAGTCCACAAGTCTTAAAGTTGCCAAGTTTGAAGACCTCTGGCTTACAGTTAACAGTTTTAGTTACCCACACTGTTGCTTAGGTGAAATCCCAATGCAGAAGGGAGGTTCCCCGCTGCTTCTTCTTAGCACAGCTATACACAAGAAGCATCATAAGCGTCACTCAAATTTTCTTCCAGCCCAAGCCTAAATAGTCATAGAAGGCAGTACCCAGTGGGGAGAGGGCATGCCCGCATCAAGTCTAGAAACATTCAGATCGCAACACCACGAGGTGTTTGCGGGAAAGGAAAACGCTTTCAGATATGGAAAACTTTTAAGCTGCCTAATGCGCGGGGAGAAAGTTCTCTCTCTCTCTCTCTCTTACACACACACACATAATTGCCTCAGCGCGTCCTGCAATGCTTGAAACTAACGAGGAACACCCTCAATCGGACGCCCCACCTGCGCACCCAAAACCCACCCCTCCCGGAGGCCTGGCAGGTCTTCCTAAAGCGGGAACGAGCGCCCCGCCTTCCGACCTTCCTTCCTATTCTATGCCACGCCTAACCGGGGGAGGAGCCAGCCCTGCTGCAGTTTATCCCGCCCCGGAGCTTTTTCTTCTTGCGCAATCCGGCAACTGAATCCACAAAAGGAACGAGGTGGGGCGGGGGGAAAGGAAAGCCGACCAACGGAGGGCGCTTCTTGTTCAAACTAACCAATAGGCACAGGGCGTCGCAGGAGATTGACAGCCCGGGTCAGGTGCGGCTCCTGCCAATAAGCTCATGCTTGTGAGGTTGGTTTGACAGGCGCACGGCAGGCGCTTGGAGAAGAGCCCCGTCAGGCTCTATTGTTGGCGCGCGGGGCGCTTGCCGAGGCTTCGAGCTGCCAACGGCGATTCATCAACTCACTTAGAAAGCCCCTAACTTCGCCTGCTGAGGAGAAAGTCCGGCACCTCTTTGAATTTGTGGGAGGGCTTCTCGTGTTTTTGTTTGGATTTCTTTTGTGCGTCTCTCTTCCGAAGCCGTTGTGAAAGGTAACTCCGTGGGCTTAAAGGAGAGAAAAAGGCAAAAGACTAATGGCAGAATATTTCTTCCTTTTCTTCTTTTCTTCCCGCCTCCTCCCTCCTCCTCCTTCCTCTGGGCTGTGCTGTAGCTCTATGGGATCTTCCCCCAGCTCTCCGTCCGCTTTTGCGGTGCCCGAGCTATTTCCCACTTTCAAAACATCCCAGGCGGTGTGAGCCATTTCCTGCCCGGTCCCCTTCCAGATTGTTGGTAGGGATTACAGATCCTATCTCCCACATCTTGGGTGGGGATGATGGAGCTTGCCCCACGTTTTGTTGCGCTCCGTCTTCCCTACCGCTCTCTCTTTTTTTTTTCCCCCCTTGAGGCGTCTTGGAAGATTTCTGCCGCGTTTCTGCTACCTTTCTGGAAATGCGACTGCTTATTATTATTTTTAAATCAGGCTCCGCTGCTTTCGCTTCCTTCCGGCAAGCGGACGCTGCGTTTGCTGCCGTCCTTAAAAAGCGGAGAGCCAGCTGCAGCTTGGAAGTTTTCCTCGGAGATAATAAAGAGGAGCGACCGGGAAAAGGAGGGTGGGAGGAGACAGCGAGCGAAATAGATACGCCCCGATCCTAAGGCAGGCTGGTCAGGATCCAAGTTTCCGTACATGGATTTGCAAGTTGTGTAACAAACGTGGTTGCCGTCGAAAAGTGCAAGGCAGCCGCGTGGATCGAGGAGAAACGGCACAGACCGCTCGATCTGCTGTAAGGGAAACAACGGAAATGGTTTGACAGTTTCACTGCTGTCTGAACCTTTATTTTCTTTCGTGCCTCCTGGCCTTTCTTAATATTGGTAAATTGAGAAGTGGTGGTGGGTTTGAAGGAGCGACGCATGGGGTTAAATTTCTAGGCATGTTTAATTTATAAAGAGAAGGAGGGAGGAGAATTTGCCGGTGGGAGGAGAAATCACGCCTCCTAATTTGGAAATCCTATCCTGGAGAGACCTAGATTCAAATTCCTCTTAAAGATGATCTTGGCTCATTGACAGCTCGGTCTAACCTATTTTGCGGGATTATTGTTGCGAGGGAAGAATTACTTTGTTTTCAGGGAAATGCAGAGAAATAATCATGTTTTAAGCCACTGAAAGAAAATGTGGGATTTAGTGTTACTGAAACTCCCAGGAGATTAGGGGTGACATATTATGTATCACTTTTAGCCCACTGATTTTCGCCTCTCAAGAGCCCTCTGATGTAGTCTCAGCAAAAAATACTCCAAATAATTAAATATATATGCTGATTTATGCAATTTTAACTGGCATTCTTGAACCACATAACTTGTTTTCTTTAGACCAAAAAATGTACATGGTGCAGCTCAAGTACTAAAACAGATGACAACTGTTATTCTCATATGAGGGGAGGGGTTTCAAAACTGAAAGTGGGAGCATCTTGAAACACCACCTTGTGAATACAAGACAGAATCAAAATGCAGTTTGAATTTCTGCACACTTTCAAATTTGTCTTCTTTAGAACCATTCTTCCATTTTAGCAATTGACCTTGTTGTTGAAAACAGTAGGGTAGGTTTTGTTCTATAGCGTCTCAGTAGTTTTCTTTCTCAGAAATCGAAGCATAAAAGTTAAGGGGAAAGTGGGAGAAGAATGGATGATGTGAAGGAAAGGAGGCCAGCTTGTCTCCTGGGGTAACATACTTGATTTGATTTGAGCTGCCTAGGGATCAATGTGCATCCTAATTGAGATGAAAAGAGGCATTTGTATTTTCTTTTACTCTTGGGAATTTGGTACAAATTTTCTTTGATTTTGTTCTTTGCTTCCTACATATTTATGTGGAGAGGTGTAAAATTATGAGAAGGAATAGGTGCTATAACAACAATTATAGCTACTAGCTGTAATTATAGCTACTAGCGATAACAACTAGCTACTAAATTTGGGCTATAAAATCCTGATCACCACTAAGGTAGCAGAGAGGGATAAGGCAAGAGTTTTTTGCTTTGATATAGTGATGGTCCAGAGCAATATTTCTCAGCCTTAACAAGATGTAATGGATTTTAATTCCCAGAATTTCCCATTTGAAATCCACATATCTCCAAGATAGCCAAGGTTAGAGAATCTGGTCTGGAATTTTGCAATCCAGGTAGAATATTGGAAATAACGAAGAACAGGAGGGGGCGTGGAGAATGGCAGCAGCATGGCTTATGACCAAGCAAGGGAAACCCTCTTGTAAGATGCATGTCATTTGACTTGCTGAACATTGGAAACATTTCCCAGGAGAACAGTTGTGTTGTAAGAGTAGAAATGCAGGCTGAGGCATGATAGACTTATAATTAGAGGATTAATGATGCAAATGTTGATAAACAATTGCCAGCAAGCAGACTTCTGACCTGATTTGCTTGTGGCAATGAACAGAGAGGGAGGTGGCTATTGTTTAATTATATGAGTTAGAAGTGAAGTATAGGCACAAGGTCGTCTTGATTCTGCTATTTGGGTTTTTTCCCATCTCAGCAGCAAATCTGCAGGGTGACTGATGCTGTATAAATATAGTTGTTGCTGTTGCTGTTGGGGGTGGTACTTGACTCAGTTCCAGACCAGCCTTGTCTTGGCTGCGATATGAACTATATTTTGCCTTGCCTGAAAGCTCGACTGTTTCCAGCCAAGAGGCATTTTGTTCATGATACTCTGATGGGAGTATCTCATGAATCCATCAACGGGCTGTAAATTGAGCTCACATGCAGTGGCAATTGGAAGGTGACCCTGCAGGATAGTTCAGTGCAAGAGCATTAGGTATTAGTCCCCAGGGTCTTTTGATAGAGAAAAGAAATGAAGAAAAATAAATCCTCAAATCAAGCTGAGATCCTGATAAATGGATACAAACACAGTCATGCTGGTTTGTTGGTGATAATACTGAAGTAATTTGCCATTCTTTTTGTTTTTGTTTATTTACCAATTTACCTACATCTACCTGAATCTAAGAATGTGCAGATGACTGCGGCAACATTTGAAGTAGTCACTCAAGTCTGCCTGGATATTTCAAAATGAGTTACTTCATTGGCTCTATCACAATTTTAAAGGATTTCTTTCAAATGACTTGCAATGGTATGGATTATTTTTCCTTCAAGTCAGCATTGATTCTTGGTGACCATCTGGACTAATCTCTGCACTTCTCTTGGCAAGATTTTGGTAATGATTTACCATTGCTTGATTCTAAGGGCTGAAAGTCAGTAACTGGTCCAAGTCGCTCAGCTAGCTTCTTGCCTAAAGCAGGTCTAGAACTTACGGCAAGGGTATCAAACGTGTGACGACACATTGTTGTCATGTGGTATATTGCAACTTCCCCCCCTTTGTTAAAATGGGTGGGCGTGGCCAGTGCATGACACATCTGGCCCATGGGCCGTGAGTTTGACACCCCTGATTTACAGTCTCCCAGTTTTTAGTCTGATATCTTAACCATGACACCAAACTGGCTCTTAACCAAACTGGCTCTTCACAGTCTTAGTAACCACCAGACAATCCATGCCCTGCTGGGTCATTGTTTCAGAGGTATTTGCTTACCTAGACAGAAACAGAATGACTACAGGTGGGCAAAGAAGCAGTGGGAGTGAGAGCAACTTCTGACTTCCTGCTGGCTTTCCTATTGAATCTCCTTGTAGGTTGACAACTACTTCAAAAAGTAGCAGAAAACTTTCTCCTTTCCCTCCCAAGAATTTTTGCCAAATCTCCCATTTACTTTGTAAGAAGTTTGCAGAAAGAAAGTCAATGGGGAAGCCAGCAGGAAGTTGCAAGTCCAGCAGGCAAGTAAATTGCTGTCGCTAGTGAGGGGAATGAGGTGCAGGTAAGGAATTATATATGAAAGTATGTGAGAGGCATCATGCGGATTAGGAAATTATGTGGGTGTGCACCAGAGATGCCACGTTGGTAACATGGGCATGGATGGATAGCATAGATTTGGAAAGTACCTATGCAACTGTGCCTTGGGAGTGTGTAAGAAGTCTATGTGGATCAAGAAGGGCGCAGTGTTTTTGTGCATGTGTCAAGAAGAATGAAAGGGGATAACAGGTGTGAGAGAGGTGCCATAGCAATCAGGCATGGTATGTGGGGTTGTGGCATGGGTTGGGAAGGTTGCCTGGGAGTGCCTAGAGTGGACATAAGGTGCTTTCAAATCAGAGATGGTACGAAGGGAAGTTGGGAAGGGTGTGTGGGCTATGAGAGTGCCCAAGAGATGCTACATGGATCTGGGAACACACGGGGTGGTGCAGGTTGGAGAAGACACATGGCGGGGTGTGTGGCACTGCTTGACCCCACATGACAACGGCATGTGCCAGGAAGGGTGTATGGGGCCTTTCCCACTCCTTTCCATAGGTAAAGGGCTGCTGGGTGGGGGAAGGAATGAGGGATTTCAAGACTGGCTGGGAAACTGTCACAACATGTTGAAAATGAAAGTCTTGTAACCACAGCTCAGCAGCAGCCAGCAGCACTGAAGCAGCCACAGTTTCCCCATATTTCATCCTCTCAAGACACACAGGTCAAGTGTTTGGACACTTTCTGTAAGTTAGCCTATTTGAGTAACTTAGCTCAAAAATTGTTGCCCTATGATTCACCAATTTCCCTAATTAAATGTCATGACAATGGGAGCTTTAGTAGTATATAAATTAGTTACTTCAGATAAAGGGAACTTCCCTATCTAAGAGCAATATACATTAGAACAATGGTGCACTCTGGAACACGTTAGCTGAGATTCTTGGAACTCAGTTTTGCTAAGGATTCTGATGTCCAGATCAGAAAAGTGGAATATGAGCAATAGCAAGATTTCAGTACTTATTTCATTTAAGTAACCTTTATAAAGAAATTGGCTTGGTCAATAGGAGAAAGAATGCTAGCCTTTGTGAACTTTTCTTCTGGATTCAGTAAAACTCTTCAATCTGTATAATACTTATAGCTGATGTAAGTCCTAATGTTTTCTTTGTGCTGCTTCCTCTAAGAACTTTGACACAACTGTGGAGGCGGCTCTTTTTTGGTCATGTCTCGACGAAGCCAACGCATTGGTGGGACTCTTCGTAGTTATCAAAGTGAGGATACTGGCAGCAGTAGGATCGGTGGAGGAAGTTCTCTACTAAGTGAACCTCAGCCCCTGTTTATAGAAAATTCAAACAGGTAAGTGGGAAGGAAGGAAGAAGGAGACTCTTCCACGTATGCTATGCAGGGGTGGGCTGCTACTGGTTCACACTGGTTCAGGAAAACCGGATTTTAATTTTATGGCCAGTTCAGCATAATGGCAAATCCCACCTCTGGCTGGCCCTGCCCACCCCGCCCCTCCCAGGAGTCCCCACATGGCCCATTTTGGATCTCAGGTAAGTGCAGGGCCCATGCTGGAGGCTTGGGGAGGGCAAAAAACAGGCCTCCCAGAAGTTCCAGAGCCCCTCTGGAGGGCCAGATCTAACTCCCCCGTGGCCCGTTTTCACAACCAGGGTGGTGCAGGAACCCAACTAGGCCACGCCCACCATGGCCATGCCCACCCAGAAACTGGGCAGAGAACCAATTGTTAAATCATTTGAAGCCCACCCCGATGCTATGTCAAATTCAAGGCCTGGGGGCTGGATTAGATCTGGCCTGTGAAGTGCTTAGGTCTGGCCTGTGGGCCTGTCCTGGAAACTGAAGAACCAGCCCGCAGTGCTTCTGCCAGAGAAAAGGAGTGCAGGAAGGCTGTGTGTGGCCTTCCCAAGCTCTGTTTTTGCTAGCAGAGAGCTACAGGAGGTCAAAAACGGAGCCTTGATGAGTGACATTGAGCTGGCCATGCCCCCTGGCCCCCCAGGGTCAAACACAACCCTGATGTAGTCCTCAATGAAATTATAGGGTTATAGTTATACGGTTTCTTCATCTTTTGAGTGGTAAAATTAGTTCATTATTACTGCTTTTTATACTTGTTATTGTTCCATCATCCCCAACTTGTTATCACAGGGGTCCTCAAACTACAGCCTGCAGGACCACAAGGCTGCCCGCCCACATTGCACCACCTACCCGCCAGCCCACACCTGCCTTCTGCAGGCCGGGAACGCCAAAGATGGGCCCGTTTTTGGCCTCCCGAGGCCTCCGCATGTTCCATTTTTGGCTTCCCTGGCCTCCATTACCAGTCTGCCAGCCAGAATTGGGCCCACATGACCACCTAGCCTCACCCACCCAGCCGGTCCAACCACCAAACAATCTGAGGGACCGTGAATTGGCCCCCTGTTTAAAAAGTTTAGGATCCTTGTGTTATCCATTATCAATGTCAGATACAATTCCCGTGATTATTAGCACTATAATTCAAAATATTTAAAAGGCAGTAGAATAGAAAGGGGTCTGTGGCATGAAGTGGAAATAGGATGAGGTATTTTGAACTGTAGTATATTCACAGTTGTCTCAATATTAATATAGAACTCAACCAAGCTCAGATTGAATTCACAAACTTTCATTTTAGCAGGCTTTGATTTTTGTATTGATACAATTCTGTCTCAATTTTATTATAAAGAGATTTTCTTGTATATTACTGATGATTTGTCTTGTGTTAATAGTAGCTGTTATGAATGGATTGTGAAGTAGCAGCAAGGATGACTCTGGCTCTAAATAGAACAAAGTGCACCATTAAAGCTTGCACCAAGCAGCTTCTCAATTTGCTTTGTCCCTTCTACATTTACAAATAATGGGTATTTTAAGACTTTTCAATATTTTCTTTTTACATCTGGCACTTCATAGCCCATTTCAGTACAGTAGTTGTAGTACACAAATAGCCAGTATGTAATTAATTTTAATATGCAAGGTTTTTTTTAAACCACTTTCCCCAATCTGGTTGGGTTACCATTCTTTAATTTTCATTTAATTCAATCTGTAGTTGGACTGACTTAGTTGTAGTTGTGAAGTTATAGCCCAGTACTCCTATAGTCACCAGAATAGGGAAGGCTACATTAAGTGGCTGGAAAGCTCCCATTCCCATTAGATACTTTGATTCTTTAAAAAGAGAAAGGAAAAAGAAATAGATAAATATTGTACGTACTACAGCAGGAGAGTTAAATTAGTTGTCATTGCTGATATCATAAGAACTGATTATTATGGCCCATGTTCATGCCACTATGTTCCATTTGAAATAGCAATGAGAATTGTAAATGAAGAAAAACAAATATTTTCTCATGAAAATGTTACATTATTAGGCAATTTCTTTGTCATAATCTAGAATTTTCTTGGTGGGAACAACTAATGACAATGGAAAACCATAACTACATGTTCAGTTTAATAAATGGAGCTGTAGATAGAGGCACAGAAGAGTGTTGGTGCCATAGGGAGAAGCCAAATTTGGATGTATAATTATTATTTTTTTCATCTCAGAGAGCTAGTTTTAGTACAAAAATGCACAAATACTTGCTTAACTTACAAGTAGCCATAATGAAATATGGGGGGGAGGCTCCCCCCTTGATCAGTTGGAAATTTTAATTGCTTCTTAGTAGAAACTGAAAAATAAGCAGCCTGTTAAGCTCATGTCACCCTTCGCAACCCATTTTTACAGCCCCCTTACTCTTCAGAATAACCCTGAAAAAATTGTGAGCTGCAATTTTTGGAAGAGAGGCCTCAGGGAGAATGACTTTAAAACGGGGCTCTAGGAAACCTAGTACATTATTTTAAAAAATACAGCACTCTCCCCTCAAACAATGAGAAGAAGGATCAAAGATTTTGACTTTGTCCAGTCTAGTGACATCATGCCTGCGACACTGCTGCAATCCTTACAGGTAGAAAAATATTCACTTTTAAAAAGTGTAATTTGTAGGAGGAAAAATATTAGCTGCAGCAAATCATATCTGACTTTTGAACAATCAACAAAGAAGGCATTGCCACTAATGGCAAGATTTCCCTGTGATGTGATTTGCCAGAGTTTTACTAACCACTTCAGCTCTGTTTCTTGCTTCCTCATAAACAGCTCTAACCACATCGGACAGCAATTGTTGTTGCAGAATTAGCAGGCAGGAAAGAGAGTAGGCTGAGTATTTTCTCTGTTGGTGCATTGCCTCCGTTTGGTTAAAGAAATGTTTGGTTAAAGAAATAAAAAGGATGTTACCATCTGTCTGTATTACTCCCACTTCTTCCATACCCAGGAACTTTAAAGAAAAATATTATACTCCGAAAAAACAGCTTCTGCTATTTTATTCTCTCCTTGGAGTGTGGTCGAAAATTCACCCCAAAAGTGCCAATGTTTGGAGAGCATCCAAAGGATTGTTCTATTAATTCCAAAGCTAGCAGGTTACAATGAGTCATTGATCTCTTGCAAAGAACAGCAGCTGCAACATCACACAAATCTTATGTAGAATGTTGTTCAAATACTGAGTATGGAGTTACATAGCAGAAAACCCTAAATACAAAATAATGGCTTTACAATTAATAAGAAAACAAGATAACCACAAAACAGGTATACTACTATTTATACTACGCTTAGGGATGTGGATTCTATAAATTGGTAGGAGTTTACTGGTGCTAATTCTAAATAACAGCATTTATGCATGTGTACAAATGCATATACATGTTCATGTTCTTCATCTAACCATGTACTAGCTTATCAATATGCCATTTCTTCTCCTGTAGTCGAACCCTGAGAAGGAAACCAAGCAGTGTGAAACGTCTCTCCCCTACACCTAGCCTAGGGATCAGTTCTGCTCCCCATACTACCTCCTACTACAGTGAGTCTGTCATTAATGAGTCTTACCTAACTGATGACAGAGGATTTTCTCTTAAAAGTAATGCAGTCTTTGATGAGCCATTGGAAAGCAGTTCTTATTGGAGTAAGTATTTCTCTGAAATGTTCTGGCTTGCATGTTCTAAAATATATGCCAGGCACTTGTTTGGGAGAAATTAATATAAAATGCAAAGCAACAAACTGGAAATTCATAAACCTTCATATGTTTTTGAACTAGACTAGGAATTCCAGTTGAGGCCGATGAGAATTGGCATCCACAATATCTGTAGGACCACATAAGCTTTTCATTCTTATTGGCTCTGCATAGTCATTGTACAGATCCCCAATTGTTTTTCACCTGTTATCTAATCTTTCAATTAACTCTGGTCTGTAGTTAGCATAATTCATACCCAAGTTAGAATATACTTCTGCATCATCTCGCCTACATGGGGCTTGAACCTATTTCCAATTTGATGCTATTGGAAGACTACATTTGGAGTAAATCTGTTGGCCTTTGAGATCTCTCGAGCTCCTTTGTTGTCACTTACTCTATTTATACAGAATGCTTCAGAGAGTTCATTCAATCTTTATTTGTTGTATGCTGTCAATATATTTTTGACATTGTATCATTTTTTCAACTGGTACCATGGATATCAGCCAAATGATTTTGGAATATTGTTCTGGCTGATGAAAGTTAAAGTATAGCAATACCTGAAAGGCCATGCATGATCTTCTCTGAATTAGTCGTTGGGGTTTTGAATGCAAGACAATATTAAAGGCGACTGAGGGAGAATTGGGTTGGGACGTGCTGAAAATCCAGCAAAAGCAAGACTATTCAAGGGAAGCTGGCTGGTGAAATTCTCAAACATCTAATCAATTAATATAAAATACTGTAGCTCTTGATGGTGATGTAATCCATCACCTGCATCATCAACAACAAGTATTAAACATGGATATGAAAAGGAGGGTAGAATTCAAAAAATAAACTCAAGGCACAAGGGAGTTAATCTTCAAGCTCTCCTGCAATTTTCACTAAATGGCATGCTTAATTTTCTAAAGCTCATCGTATCTAGTTTCATTCAAGTTTTTGGTAAGAAATGTATAAAAAAATGATTGAGTTTATTTTTAAAATATTTTTTAAAATCTATGGTCAGGTGAGGATCTTTCACGGAGAAGAGGTACAGGGGGCATCGAATCCAATAAGAAAATCAATGGATTAGGAGACAGGAGGACATATGACACTTACGGTTCTTCATCTGGTTATTCCTCTGAGGATGACTACACAGGTATTCGGAAGTGCTGTGCGCCTAAGCAATCAGGCGGGACTCCTGGAGGAAAAACATTGGGGATAGAATTTATTAATATCATTTACATTTACAGCAAAAACTGGTTGGCTTGATAAACTAAAGTAAGCCATCAGCTAACAAAAGGCCTGATGAACTCCTTGAACTGCACGTATTAAAGTTTGCCTCAAGGCTGTGCGTACTTAAAACTGATTTTTGGTTCCACCACAGATCTTTGTTATTCCACTCATCACAGAGAAGTTGCTTGTCTGTTACTTTTTTTAACACAAATAAGGACATTATAATATTTTTCAGTTTGTTTTTTAAAAAAACAGCTGGAGAAAAACTGATCTTCCGTTTGGTAATGCAGAGACAGTATCAATAGTTATTATCTCCATACAATTGGCAGAGGATGAGTTTAATTTATACAAGGGAAAGATTAACAACTATGTCTGCAACCTCCTTTCATAAGTCAGACCAACTCAGCTACCAAAACAGTACAGCTGTTAATATTTTATTTCTGCTTTAGATCGATAAAGTAACTGGAGGAAACCACTAGATCCAATTTGGCCAATTCCTGGCTTTGCAAGATTCTTACCATAGGATCCAATCTGGGTCAGTGACCAGAACAAGAGATTTAGTCTTCCGAGCTTTCAGGCTTATGTTGGAGCCATCCTCAGGGAACTTCTCTCTAGCAGAAAATGTGTTTTGGTCTATTCGGTCTGTGGTATTTATATGGTGCCCGTATATATTTATATTTATACTACACACTGAATTGACCAAAGCAGAGGGTAGCTTTAATTAACTCTCTCTGCTGGAGAGTAGTTCCCCGAGGATGGGCTCCAGCACGAGTCTGAAAGTTCGAAAGACTACATCTCTGGTCCTAGTGACTGACCCAGATTGGACCCTGCAATGTTATCCTGGGAAACATATATTTGCCTTCATTCTTGCCACAGTGTGTGAAGTGTGCATCAGCTGTGCTCTCTATTAACTGCATGCAATGCTTTGAGGTGGGATGTAGGGGAAATTGATACCTTAAGAGCACCTTTATCTGTTAAGCTTAGGGTAAGGTGGATGTTGGAATAAAGGCTATAACATACAGACGTGTCTTTGGAAATTGTTTGTGGGTCACTGTCAAACTGGGGCAGACAAGGCAAGGCAAAGCAAGGCAAGGGAAGGGAGGAAAGAAAGAAAAAAGAAAGAAAGAAAGAAAGAAAGAAAGAAAGAAAGAAAGAAAGAAAGAAAGAAAGAAAGAAAGAAAGAAAGAAAGAAAGAACTAATGATGACTTGTTAGCTGACAAAACTGTCTCTGCTTCTTGCAGGTGGTTCTTCCATGGACCAGAATACATCCAATTTTGGGTTCAAGAGTATCTTCTCCAAAGTAGGGTCCTTTACTTGGCTGGTGCTTTTAGCCCCAGGTAAATGGAAAAGACTTGTTAGAAATTTGATTAATTATTACACATGTTAACAAAGGAAGCTATATAGCAGTGTCTATATCTCTCTACTGCATTTTCAGTGCTAACTTATCTGATATGGATTTCTTCAAAATAATGCTGAAAATGTTCATTTGGAAGGGATATAGGGAATTATATTAAGAGATGGCCAGAGGCTTAGGATCAAGCATCTGGAGAAATTTTAATTTAAGATTAATTTGTCCAAGAATGCAATTCAACTTGGAAAATTTGTATTTAATGTTTTGAATAATTTTTAAATTGTCCAGAATCATTGAGAATCAAGGGGCATATGTGTAATTAATAATGTCTTGTGGGTTTTTGTAAACTACCATTTCTACTATTGAATGTGCAAGTACAGCTTCTGAGAAATTCAGCTGTAAAGAAATGGAAGAGATGGGGAAAAAGGCTGAGCTGTTGCTCATTTAAAAGTTGTTCTGTTTTTTTTTTGCAGGACGGCTGTTTGGTTTGTTATACTGGTGGATGGGAACCATGTGGTATCGTCTAACAACTACAGCCTCTCTCTTGGATGTCTTCATTTTAACACGGTTAGTGGGAATAGAATTTGAAATATAAAGAGACATGGCTAACTTTGATTCCTAGATGGATTGGAAAAGTAACTGAAAAAGGGGGGAATAGAAGAAATTCCTGCAGGTGCACTGCTTAGAGTATCCCCAAATTCACCAGCATTTTAGAATGTGTGTGTATTTTTCTGCTACAGCTCTGTTTCATTTAATAACTATCCAACAAACTAGACGCTTATAATATGCACAATCCAACAGCAGATGTTTAAGAGCTGTGTGATAGACTTAAAAGTTTGAAGTGGTCCAACTCTACTGTGGTTGATGATTGGGCTTGCACGTTTTGCTAAATAATTTTTCACCAATAAACCATGATTGCCTGGATTCATATAATCTGAACCATATTCCATGCAGTTTATAAACCATACTACATTAGCTGAATCTACCCTATGCATTAAGTAAAAAAAAAAAACCACAAGCAGACTATACATTCATAAACACATTGCACATTTAGCTGGTTGGATGAACCTAGCCATTATAATTAGTAATCTGTGGCTATAGCTTAGAATATTATATGTATTGTTAAGTAAACAACACACTACAATATGTGAACCAGGTCTATCTATTTTGATTATTTTCCAATATTAACTATAGCACTTACGATATGGCATCGTCATGTCAATAATATGAAATTGGGGTGTAAACCTCATTTCATTGAGGTTCACGTTACATGTTCTACTTTCATTGGCAAGCTGAGGCAGCACTGCTTTGCTTATAATGTTTGATTTTGTCTTGTATTAACAGTTTGTTCTCTCTCTTCTGTTGTTTGGGGCCCAGGAGCTATCCAGTGTTGAAGAAGATGTTGTTGTTTATCCTTCTGCTTTTGCTCCTGAGCTGTGTTGGTTATGGTGAGTTTCACGTTTGCCTTTGTCTGTACCTCTTAGAAAGTATGAGATGACATCACTCTGAAAATAGTCTTATTGTAGATCTTATATTTCAACATGTGATTCTTTCTGCAGACTTTTGCCTTACATTGTGCAACCGTTGAGAAAGGAAGGGAAAAAATGGGGGGAGGGAAACATCTTTTTAATGCACTCCTGTTTTTTTCTGTTAAAAATCGCTTCCTCTATTTTAAAAAATGTACCTCTGGGTAGGAGAATTTGTGGTTTCTTTCATGACATTTAAGCAGATAAACTCAGCTGGAAAATTTTAATTAGGAAAACAGTGACCAGGAAGAATTGGGAAGTCTTTCCTCCCCCAATACAGTTCTTGTTCTCAGGAAAGCATTCCACTCAAGTAGTGACTTTTCCCAAACAAAATGAGATAAAAACTGTTTATTGGTACAGATCTGGAATCGAGTGAGTCCACTTGTCACTCTTTCAGATAAGCACTTAGAGATTCTTAGCTTGGCTTCAGAGATATAGTTAACGTTGTTGAAACTAATGCTACTCTGTAATAATATGAATCAATTGTCGGGGTCTTATTATATCTTCATTCTATCGAGTGACTTTTAAAAGATTAGCCCTTTTTAAATTGTTGGCTTCTTCTTTGAGAAAGACATGTGGGAATGAGTCTCAGGATCCAGCTGAGAATATTTGTGAAAGGAATTCCGGGCCCATTTCTTAAGTATTATAGGGCTTTGGTGTTTCCCTGATACAACTGGAAGCTGAACTCAGAAGGGCTCAGAGTTCTGCTTTTCTTCCCAGTGTGGTTGGTGCTAACACTATTGAAGGTATTTTTAGGGCTTCTATACTTCTATATATGGCTTCTTCCTTCTATGTTATATATCCTTTCCAATTCCAACCACAGTTCCATTTGATCAGACCATATCCCTAATAACTGCTGAAGAGCTATACCTAATGGCTAGAGTCACTTTCCTTGGAAGACCAGAAAATTTTTTAAAAAAAAAATGCTTTGAAGAATTACATCCGTATAGCAGTGTTTCTCAGCCTTAGCAACTTTTAGATGCAGGGACTTCAACTCCCAGAATTCCCCAGCCAGCATGTATGGTATATCAGAAATATGATAATAAAAGGAGCTTTATGTTGTTGCTGGTAACAACATTAGTTCTTTCAATATCTGATATTTTTCTGACTATTCTCTTCTAGAAATATGATTTTGTGTGTTATCTTTCTGAGAGCATGGTCCTAAAAACAAATGAGAACTTTAAAATATGGAATGTAACACTGAACTCTAGAATTATGTTTGTCAATATCTTGAGTTTCATTTAATACAATCTGCCAGCCTTCATGTTTAGAATCTTCTGGAATATACTCGGCAATTATCCTTTATCATTTTTTATTTGATTATTTTACTTTTCTAATTATTTTAGGTGCCTGGTATTTTTATCCCTTTGGGCTTCAACCTTCTATGTTTTCTTGGGGAACAGTGAAATTATTTCCCTCTGGTACCAAGAAGGGCCAAGAAATGGGAGAGACTGCTGTATTTTCTGAGGTGTGTATTATGTGGATTTAGAGGGGTATTTGTAGGGAATATTCATTTTTTGGTATCACCTATTGTAAAATTCTCATATTTGCTCAGAATTGGACAGTGCTTTAAGAGGATTTCTTCATGTCATAAATGAAGCACAGACACTTAACCAGCTTAACCTATTTTGGTAGGTTCTTTCAGACTGAAAGGTGGTATGTAATGGCTAAAAAAATTGAGTTAGGAAGGCCCTAGTTTGTATATTGTTTTTGCCATGAACTTATTACACGGTCTTAGGCAAGGAATATAATCTCAGCTTCAAATCCTTCTATTTACAATTTATAATATTGATTTGATCTACAAGATTATCCCACAAATGTTAACTATTTAATACATCTTCAATAAGCAATAACAATGTGCAGCATGATATCAATATCAAACAAACATATGTATAAATTGGTGAGGAATGTGGGTCTTAAATTTGTTATCACATTTGTTTGCTGTCCATCTTGTTTTAAAGTTCTTCTGGGCAGCTTACAATGTTAAAAGCCATAAAACCATAAAATATAAACATTTTATATAACTATTTCTAAAAGCAATAAATTACAATCCAAAGTAAATTTACAGTTAAAAGATGGATAGGCAACAGGATGAGTGGGGGGAGAGGAGGGGAGATTCTTAATTCATCAACCACTTCCAGTGTGATGCTCCCCCGTTGGGTCCCCAAGTCAACTGGCAAAGCCAGGTCTTCAAGCCCTTACAGAAGGTCAGGAGGGTAGGAGCTGATCTCACCTCCGGGAGCAGGATGTTCCAACGGGCCGGAGCCAAGCAGAGAAGGCAGCTCTCCTGGACCACGCCAGCTGAAATTTCCTTTGCTGACAGGCCTGCAGCATGCCCCTTCTGACAGCATGGATAGGCAGGCAAGGCCATTGGGATGAGATAGTTCATGAAGTAATCTGGTCCTGTACCATTCAGGGCTTTAAAGGTAATAACCAAACCCTGAAGTGTACTCTGAAGCAAATAAGCAACCAATGCAGCTCATGGAGCAGTGGTGTAACACAAGCCACCTTAGGGGCCCAAGAACTACCCATGCCATCATACTCTGCGCCAGTTGTAGTTTCCAAATGCTCTTCAATGGTAGCCCCATGTAGAGCATATTGCAGTAATCCAAATGTAGATGATAAGGGCTCAGGTGACTGAGCGCAGAGACTGCAATCCAGAAAAAACCAGCCCGGGGGGGTGGGGTGGGGGAGAGAGAGAGAGAAAGAGGAGAGATGCTAATACTGTAAATACTTCTATACATCTCAACGTAAATGTTAATATAATATAAAATAATTCATAATTTAAAGTGAATCATAAAAATTATTCCAGGTCTTTGTGCTACATATCGGAGCAACCTGGAAACCAATGTAATGAGCAAAAAAAGTATTCCTTTCACTGTAGTCTACGAGTGTTTCTACTTTTTTCATTGGCTGCAGTTCACACAGAACATTCTGCATAATTCAGTTCTTGAGATTATTAAGCTCTGGATGAAACTTCATTCTTTTTTCTTTCATATTGTCTCTTGATTAAAAGGCCCAGCAACAGGCTTTGTCTCGGCTCCAGGCACTGGAAAGACGTTTTGAGACCCTGGAAGCTGCAGCTTCTATGCTAGAATTCCAGAAAAGAAAGAACACAGAAGGTGCCACCCTGTCACATGAGGATATCCTGGTGCTTCTGGATAAGATGATGACTCAGCAAGAGGCGGCCATGAGAGAGAAGCTTGGCTCAGACATAGATCTTCATCTCCAGGTCAGGGAGCAAGGAGGCCAGTTGGGACTAAAGGAAAGGTGCACTGTAAAAACTTGAATTATGGTGAACTAGAGCCACTAATAGCTCAAAGAATGTTAATCTCCAATCTCAAAATATGGGACCCTAAGTAGAAGCTTATCAAACATCGCAGTTCTATTCTATCATAATCTGTTCTAAACAGACACTTGGTAGCATACCATAAAATAAAATATGAGGTATATAATACAAAAACAACAAATACCTAAACCACTAAGTGATGAGATGGTTCAAATACCCTCTGGAAGAATTCCATCTTCAACTTCTGGAAAGGGAACAGTGTCAGAGCTACAATAAGTAAATCTCCAACAAGAGGTCATACCAGAGGGCTGGCCTGACCAACAAAAATGCTTCCAGCCTTCAGCCCCCTTGACTTTCACCAAATGGCAAACAATTAATTGTTTCTTCTGGCTTAATCAAAATGGTTGAGCCAATTTCAGGGGAGAGATTTAGTCCTCCAAGTAACTTGGGGCTGAGCTATGAGGGTCTTTATAGGCTACAGCTAGCATTTGAAATTGTACCTGGAAGCTAATAGGAGCCAATGCAGGGCCCAGAATGTAAGTATAATCTAATCCTACCAATCCTACCAACGGCCCCTGGTGAGCTCTTGGGCCACTACATTTTGCATTGACAGAATCTCAACATTTAATAAACTTGACAAAAATTTCACAAGATAAAGAAATGCTAACGATTGCACTGATATTACCGGAAATTGCATAAGAACTCAGAATAAGATTGCCACCATTTCATAAAATGTGTATGCATACAAGCTCCTGGTACCTGAAAATATTGCTGTTTTTGGCATAAGAACTGTGTATAGTAATGTGAAAAAAGTTGGAGTCTAGATGAACAGAGGATTGCTCTTTAAAATTACATTTGTGAGAGGGATTCATTTTTTTATGTTAAAGAAATTTGAAACAAGTAAAATTTAATACTACTTCAATTTAAAGAACGTCTTTACTTTTTTAATCAGCATTTTCCCCATTCATTAATTTGTGTTCCTTTTTTTTCTTTTGTTTAGAATAAGTTGGATGCTTTCCGATCTCAGGTGCAGAACGATTTTGACAATCTCCTGAAAAAAGTCTCTCAGACTTCTGAGGTAGAATTTGCTTGGAGTTTGTTTTAAAGTAGACAAGATGTAATGGTATGACAAAACCTGTCTTGCTCTATAGAGTTTATGCATGTAACTTTTATGTCAATATTTCACAACTGTTTTTCAAAACTTTTTGAAACATCTGGCAACACTATTGGGCACGATCAGTTACATTTTCCCATCCTATGTACCACTGAATTTTAGCGGACTTAATCCTGAAAAAGGAATTTCCATTTATACAAATAGTTCAACTGTTATTAAAGGCAACAGTCCAAAACGAATAGTATCTTAAATTCAGTCCCTCTGGGTTGTCCCAATATTTGGGGGGCTTGGTGGTTGAGGGAATTGGAAGGACTGCAGTGGGTCTGTTTAGTGAAACGAAGTCAGATACTCATGACATACTTGTGGAAGACTGAAGATTTTCTACCCTGTTTAGTAAGCATGGCAGACTTGAGTTTTTCTTTCTCAGCCTACATTTAGAGTAAGTTTCTTCTTATTCTGCTTCAAAATGGGAAAATATAGTGCAAATGTTGATTCATTAAAGCAGGAGGATGCTCTGGGACTGTACAATATGGAGATGGGACTCATAGTCTTGAGGCACCAAAGCTTCAGGTTGTCCATTCCTGGTTTAGCCTAAATCCCTAGAGAGTCTCTAGTCTTATTGGGTTACTAGCATTTCAGCCAGCTTCGGGAGATCCCAAATGCAACAATAACGTACATTTGACAATCTATATCTAACAGGTATACATGTCAGAGAGCTGTCCTACAAGTAATTTAGGAACATGAACTGGTGTAAAACTGGCTCACAGATCAACCACACTTCTCCCTTTCTTTTTCTTTTTTACCCTTTTTTGTTTTGTTTCATTTTGGCTTTTAATCATCTGCCTAAGATTTCTAAGAAACTTGAAAGCTTATAACTGATACAAAATCTTGCCTGTGCTAACTGGTATTTCTCCCACAGGAGGTGGAGACCCAGACACTTGAGAAGACAGCTCAGTGGCAAAGGTAATTCGAGCGCCATGAGCAAATCATGTTCCTGTTTCTGTTGAAAAGGAACAAAGGAGTCATGGAATGTTCTTACACCTTGCAGGAATTGTTATTCTAAAAAAGCATTTTTAGCACTCATAAAATTTAGTGCATTTCTACCCAAACTGTTTAGAATGATGATTAATAGGTGATTATTTTAACTGAGGTCCGACTTAACTTTTCTGCCTGTGCAGTTACAATTCCTCAGGTCATTTCAAGAAAGCACAGTAAGCAGGAACATTTCTATTGCATCTGTGCAGGATACTTTTGTTTCTGTGCTATGTTTACTATGTATACTAAGCAGTGCTGAAAGAATACACATGCAATAATACAGTGCATGGAAATTTAGATTTTTTTTAAAAAAGGGGGATTAGGACCTCCAATTCTTTGCAATAGAAGTGTATTCATAGCCAAATTTGATTTTAGTATTGGGATTGCTCATATTTTGTATCTGCTTTCTTGAGTTAATGCTTCTTTGTATTTTGTTGAATTACAGGATTGTTAACCATCCAATCAGTATTTCTGGGAATTGGGATTCAATAGCCTATGGAAGACATGGCCTATCCACAAAAAGCTAGATACACTTTATATGCATTTATTTAAAACATTTTTGCTTTGTTGTTCAATAAGCAAGAGCTCCCAGACCAGCTGACATAAAATTCATTAACAAAACTGAAATTGGGTTTTTCCAACTGTTACCTTGCTATGATGTGAGATTGTCCAAGGATTCCATTTACTGTGTGCAATATTATTATTAAAGATTAAAGGCACAGTTTGCATAATTGTCAATACTTTGAGGATTAAAAGGTTTAAAAGTTCATATCCTTAAGCTAGCTTTTGATAAACACAGTTGAAAAATGTGGATAAATACATTTTATTTGCATTGGATTATAAGTAGCACCTCAATGTTTGTTCTGTTTTTTCCTCTTTCAAAGCTCCATAAAAGAAGGCCTAATGAATACTTTCCGAAAGGAAATGGACAAACTGGAGGAACATTTATCAAGTCTGAAAAAGGAACTTGTGACTTTAGGTTCTCATCAGAAGGCATTGTCAAGACAAGTGGAATCTCTTCCAGGGCAGATCAAGGAAATGCGAGAAGATGTGAGATTCCTAATATGTTTCCCACTTTTAAATCAATTTGTTCCAAATTTTCTTCCACTTGTGGTCCTGCCCCCTAAATGTCTGCCCTATTTCTCTTCACTCTCTGATGATTCAAGGTGCCACTCAAACTTTGTTGGAAGGAAGAGGGCACTTGGGAGCACTAGTATAAATTGAACATACCATCTCCTTGTTTTCTAGATCAGTCGGGTCTTCAACAGTATTACAGAAAAGGCAGGAAAATCCTCAAGTAAATTTAGGAAACTTTCTAGAGTACCTGGTTTTAGACCATATTAACTAATCCTGCAGTGAGTTATAGCAGGTATCGCTGTAAACATTATCAAAAAGTGATCCGTCCATGACAACATCCCCAGCCAACAAAAACATTTCCTACAGATGATGAGACTAAACACCTTTAAGAAGGTATCAGATTAAGGAAGATCTGTTCTTTTTAAAAGTCCACAATAATTCAGAGATTCTTCTGAAATAAACAATACACTTTCTATCTCATTTGATAGAAAATCAGACATGATATGAAAAGTGAGGATGGAGGAATAAACTGTTTATCAAATTTGTTCTTCTCTTAATGATTTAGGTGGAAATTCAGTTTCCGACATGGTTTAGCCAATTCCTGTCCAAAACTGGAAAACCTTTTGTCCAGCATGAAGAATTACAGGAGCAGCTACGCAAATTGGAGCACAAGATCCTTGCCAAGATCTTGAAGGACCAAGAATTGTCTGTGCAGGATGTTGGGGTCACCCTTCATAAAGAAGGAATTACAGGAGTGACTGAGGAGGTAGGAGGATGTCTTTCCCAATAAATCGAAGAACATCATTTAATATCTACTGAATAAAGGGATGTTGTTTATACAAGATGTTCTTTGCACATGTGCAAATCTATATTGTAAAGACCTGCTCTGTGATTTATATTGTGAATTAATTGCACTGTTTTTATCTGAATGGCTAAGTTCTAGAATGAATAGCACTTAGCAATAGCACCTACCCTTATATACTGTTTCACAGTGCTTTACAGCCCTCTCTAAAACAGTTTACAGTCATCCTATTGCCCCCAACAGTCTGGGTCTTCATTTTACTGACCTCGGAAGGATGGAAGGCTGAGTCAACCTAGAGCCAATGAGAATCGAATTGCCTAACTGCTGGGAGTTGGCAATCATCAGAATTAGCCTGCGATATTGCATTCTAATAGCTGCACTACCATGGCTCTAAACTATCATTTTGTGGCATTCTGCTATCAATCATAAATAGATTGGGCAACAGGGAGAGGGATGCTAGCCTTCTATATTTTTCCTCTTGACCTCTTCACTCATCCCATTCATTGCAGATAGACAATATGTTTTATGCAGCCTTTCCTGTGTTCTTAAACTAACCTCAGATGCATGAAGAAGGCAGTTTTGTTTTGTTGGCTTTTGTAGGAGAAATAGAGGTATACGCCCCTTGCCTTGGTATCAAAAGGTTTTGACTTATCGTTGCTGAAAGGCCTCCTTGCCCAGGCTTGAAGCCACAAATTTGAGAGGCTAGTATTCTTTCCTTATCTCTCACCCTATAGAAGGGCAATACTTGTGAAGCATTTTCTGGCTGTTAGCACAGGAATTGGCAGTCTTTATATCTCTCAGCTTAATTTCAGTTCCTTTTACACTCTATACAAACAAAAATAGATGATTTCAGATGTTTAGAAGCAGCTTGTTTCTTGGAAGAGTGAAAACAGTGTTTCAGAGAATATGTGTCCCATCGCTTTTTGTACTCCAACTCCAGCTCTTACCTGACCCTCAGGCAATCACCCTGAGAGAATGTGACCCTGTATAAGTTGTTTCCCTTTAAATCTTCTTGTATTCAGTCTTGCTCTCTTGTTTCAGCAAGTTCACCATATTGTGAATGATGCCCTGAAGCGCTACAGTGAAGATCGCATTGGAATGGTTGATTATGCACTTGAATCTGGAGGTAGGTTATACCAAAGCAAAAAAAAAAAACCTTTCACAACAAGTTTCCAGTTTTCATATAAGAAACTAGAATTATTTTGATCAATTTCATCTATAGGTTTAAACATTTGGGGAGCATTTTTTTTGCTATGTGTGTTTCTGTGTACATAAACATACACGCATATATATTAAGAGCAATAATAATTAATTCAACTAAATTAAAACAGGGACAATGAAAAGGGAGAAATAATAGATAAAGCTAAAAGTACAAGGAAATGAGAGAAAGTAGAAAAAGGTTATAAACATAAAACTATAAAGAAGTATCTTCCAATATTCTTCACAGCACTTAAAAGTACAATTATATTGTAACCTCTTTCTCTAAAGTTACGACATAAGTCCATAAAGTATGCTGCATTTTCAGGCTTATTGCTTCCCAAAAGCTGGCAACTTTTTCTTCCAGGTTCATTCTCTGCAAAAAAATTTTTTTTTGCCAAGAATGAAGTATACAAACATGTACTAATAATCTAATACCAGATTTATAGTTCCTCATTTACAGAATGATTTGGAGATTAGCCCAGTGCACAACTTACCTTCATCTGTTCACTTTAATTATAGGGGCCAGTGTAATCAGCACCCGGTGTTCAGAAACCTATGAGACCAAGACTGCACTTCTTAGCCTTTTTGGCATTCCATTGTGGTATCACTCCCAGTCTCCAAGAGTAATTCTACAGGTATGGGTTCATTTTCAAAAGAACAATAGAACCACTGTCTTTCCCCTCCCCACTCCCTGTTCACTCTCCACCATTTTGCTTATGTCCCCTATTTGTCACCCAATTTACTTCCTGTGGCTTTTGTCCCATGAGGGGGCAGACAAGTTTTTGTAGCAAAGAGAATGGTTCTTCCTTTCTCTAGCATTTATTGTAATGACCATGAGATATCCATAATTACTTTGTCATTCGAGAAGGTAAGAAGCATGTTATTTATAAACTAAAGAAAGTTGGAAGGAGTCCTTTGCCTGATAGAGATAGAATAATCCCATGGCTTTTTTAAAAAAAAGCATTTAGGGAATGATAAACTTGGATGTTGTCCTATTATTTCACTGGGAGCAAAGCTCCAAACATGCTTCTAGAGGGATTTTTGCTGAAATTCTTTTAAGTTTTTATTTTGAATAAGATAGTTATTTCATAAGGGCCAGTATTAATTTTTATCTGTGAATTTCTATCAAAAGACTGCCCAGGGTTTGTGATATTCTTTCTTTTGATTGAATGGAGTATTCATGTGCCTTGAGAGAAATAAATCTGCACACAAGGATTTACTCTTTTTACCTCACGTTCTTGTTTGTCTCATTTGATACAGCCAGATGTCAATCCTGGAAACTGCTGGGCCTTCCAAGGCTCCCAAGGTTTTGCTGTCATTCGTCTTTCAAGCAGGATCCATCCCACTGCTGTGACACTAGAACATATCTCCAAGTCGCTTTCCCCCAGTGGAACCATTCCCAGCGCCCCCAAGGACATCACAGTTTTTGTAAGTCTGGACAACATAGCAGGAAACAGCAAATTATAGTGAGCTCATCCTGGTAAAGGGCAGATGTTTTTTCCCCTATCACAGGGAAGACACAACCCACAATAGGCAATTCCTCTCATGTTTAATTGGCAGTCAAGGATTGTAGAAGTTCCTGAACTTTCTCTGTATAGGAATCTCCTCTCTCCTGCTTCCAGTTTTGCTAAAAGATTGAAAAATAATCTTTAACATTTGTCAACTCTGTATTCTAGTGGGAGAATATGTTTCATTTTAAAATGTTTTTAGCACTTCCCTAGTCTTCCAGTATTCACTCTAAATTAGTGAATGTCTAATTTGTAGTCATCAGTTCTTGTATTCATAGATAGCTTTGAACTAGGTGGTCAGAAACACTGGATATGTGGTTTTCTGTGGGGAGGTTTAAGGAATGATGTAGCTTGTTGGGTATTACCTTAGCACAATAAGCGATATGTAAACAATGATTTATGACTGAGCATTTGAACTCAACCCTTGTGACTTTTCCAATAAAGCATGGTTAAACTTTGTGGTGCTTTAAAACACCAAGATAGAAACAAGGAAACCAAATGTTTGTCCTCCCTAAGTATGAAGCCAGCTGGGTGACTTTGGACCCAAGTTAATCTATGTAAAGAAATAGACAAAATTTAACTACAGTTAAATAAAACCAAAATAAAATAAAAATTGAATACAGTAAAACAATACAAAATATAAATACAATTAAATAAAAGAGAAATAAATGTCATAATGTCATCCATCAAAATTAGGATGTCTTATGGCTTATATAAATTGCTGCAGGGAGAAAATTACAACTCTCTTGCTGATGCTGGATTTACTATTATTGCTAAACTATCATAAGGGTATGGAAAAACTTCTATGCCGGGGAAATGATTCAAAACATACTGAAAAGAGGCTGAGGGCAGCTAGAGTGCATGCAGCAGCTCAGGAACTGCTCAATATAAGAGTCTGGCATTGACTGAAATTCTGTAATCAGACAAGTACTTGAGGTGGGAGATTATAAGTCTATAATGACCAGACCTCTTTTTGCTATGTTGGTTCTATACAAGTAGTCTTCAACTTTTGGCCACAACTGAGCCCAAAATTTATGTCTCTAAGTGATAAATTTGTTAAGTGAGGATCACATGACTCTGGGAAACTGCAGCTGCCATAAATATGAGTCAGTTGTCAAGATCCAAGTATAAATCATGTAACCATGGGGATGCTATAACGGTCATAAGTGTGAAAAATCATCATGTCACTTTTTTCAGTTCCATTGTAACTTTGAACAATCACTAAATGAACTATTGTAAGTCGAGGACTACCTGTATGTGCCTTACCACCTGTGTGTTTTATTTTGGCACACCAACTACACAAGTGGCTGTGAGCATCCCTTGCCTGCTTCTCTCATGATTTTTCCAAAATCCTCATGGCTTCAGCTCTCTCCTTTCCTATCCCCATCCTCACTTGTTTGCTCAGGGCTTAGAGGAAGAAGGGCATCAAGAGGGCGTCCTCCTTGGGAAGTTCACATACAATCAAGATGGGGATCCTATCCAAACATTTCATTTTCAGGTAAGAAAAAGGACTAAAACCTGGGAGGGAAGGGAGGTGTAGATCAAGGGCTTCAGACCAGAGGTGGTATTCAGCAGGTTCTGACCAGTTCTGGAGAACCGGTAGCGGAAATTTTGAGTAGTTCGGAGAACAGGTAAATGCCACCTCTGACTGGAGATTTTACAGTATCCTTCCCCTGCCACGCCCACCAAGCCACACCCACAGAACCAGTAGTAAAAAAAATTGAATCCCACCACTGCTTCAGAGCCTGCAGGAAAATTGGACCCTATTTGCCATTTTTATTCAGTACTGAATGGATTTGCAAATAAAGCTAATGTCCCTTTTATTTATACAGACTTCCCTGTATAACGAACCTGTTTGTGAAATAGGTTTTGAACAGAACAATAAAATGTAGGGATTATAACAGTAGTTTTTGTTTTTTAAGTATAACTGTTTTGATCTCATTGTGTTATTACCTCCAGAGCTACCCAGGGATTAGCCATTATGAAGGCAGCAGATAGATTTTCCTGATGTTTTAAGGGACATACCCCAAGTCTGCTCCTACTAAAACAATAATAACCTTTAACACCATCATATCTGCTTATCCCTGGTCCTTGGGAAGGACTCGATAAAAAGATAAAAATGCCAAATAGAGTCTGAACATCTGGCTATGCAATAAGCTCTTAATAATACAGTGAATAAATTGATCGTTTTACTGTTCTGCCCCATACTAACCACCCAGCACTCTCCATATGTGAAGGATTAGATCCCCACTAACTCTGTTCAGGACAGTAATGAGTCCAAGCTAACTGGTCTGCACAGGCTGGGGAAGAAGGAACGCAGTTTGTATCCTTTTGTCAATGCTTGCAGAGTTCTATTATATCTCTATAGATGATAGAAACAAATTAGAATTATGTTTAAGGCCTTTCCTATTGGTTGTTGGTGGAGGCATCTTTAAAAAGTTTGTTTATACATTTGAATGCATGTACCCTGCATCTTGCCTTCAATTTGTGGCTCCCAACACTTCCAGACTGCACAATCAATTTTCAGCATTTTTATTTTTTTAAAAAAATGTGTACATCAAACTTTTAAGAACTTAATGGCACTCACTTTTTCCCTTAAGGGAAATCATACAAAAAAGGGCCCTGTCCTATGCAGGCTTTACTATGTAACCAAATATATTTCTAGCATCTCCAGGGAGAAAAGTAAAAATAAAGCCACGGCTGAAAAAGTGACACATTCCTGTTTTAACTGATCAGAGACATGTTACTGTTCTCTAGGCAGTAAATGGACGTTTGAACTAAGTTAGGCCAAGCTGAAGGAGCAATCCTCCAGCATTCTCTATGGGTCCCATTTTTAAAAGTCAACCTTTTCTTTTCTTTTCTTTTCTTTTCCCATCCTCAGGATATAGACAGGCAGGCAGCCTTCCAGCTGGTGGAGCTAAGAGTTCTCAGCAACTGGGGCCATCCAGAATATACCTGCATTTATCGTTTCCGTGTGCATGGGGAGCTGGTCTCATAATGTCTTCTTGCACTACTAGCTCAAAAGTCACCTACCTCAAGATCTGCACTTCAGACTGCGAAAGGCAGTTGGGAAACAATGTCAGGAAGGCAAGCAACTTGGAATGGACAATATATCTTTTTTGCTATGTTGCACAGAGATGGGATGTAAGCTGAACTCTCTCTAATCAGTCAGCTCTCTCCTGGAAACAACACGCTTCTGAGTGCAGAGGAAGAAAGAGGCCTTTTGGATTTGATATTTGATATTTAGTTGTTCTTCAAGCAGATTTTTAAACATACTTAATCCAGTTCATATTTACCCCGTCCTTTATATTTCTCCAAACCTGATTTCTGGTTGTTCCTCTGAAGCTCGATTTTCTGGGGACTGAAGGCATATTTAAACAAGCTAAGCAATGCAGGAAAAAACTTGGCAGTGACATAAGGTTTGATTTGAGGTAAGGATATAAAGCCTTTGCCAGATTCTGGATCCTGTTTAGACCCTTATTAGTGTCCTTCACAAAAGCCTCAATCTCTTCACAGAAAGGTGCCTTTTACCTTTACCTACTCTGAATGGCTCTGGGGGATACAGAAAGTGCTAGAAACTGTGCAGTTGAATTTTTTTTAAAAAGTGGCGTCATAATATTGGCCACCTTTATTTCATCATATTGTGTGGAGGCAGGTAGGGGAATGTTTTCATGAAATCTGTCACAAATGAGGATTGTTGACTTAGGGCCATTCCTCTTCCTGTGTCGACAGAATTCTGATTATTTTGATAACCTATCCATAACCGATTGAGATTGAATTCCATGGGAAGCAACAATACCCAGGTTAAAAGCTGCAGAGAAAAACCAGAGATTGTTTATTCGGGAACTGTGATGTGTTTAAAAATGGAAAGCTGCAGTTTTGAAGAATGGAAAAAAGTGTTTTTCTATGGGAAAAATAGTGTAAAGATAAATTAGTGTTATTTGTATGGGTTAAATATTGACACATATTTCCCAATGTGCAGTATTTTATTTCTTAGAAAATGAGATGTTGTCAGGCCTTCACGCTGGCCTAGAATCAAATACACCAGTTCCTAATAAGAGGGAGGTGGTAGCTAATGCTGATGGCAAAGTATCCAGCATGTTCAGAGATGAAATATTTCTGAATACTGTTTTCTTGACTATCCCATATATTTTACAACAGTCAGTATTAGAATATCGGCTCATATTGTTTCATATTGAACTCTAGCTTTTAATCTGCTTGCAGACGACAAGTTGCTTATTGTAGTTCACCAAGTTAAAAGAATCTTGGGTTGATTTCAACTCCTGATGATAATATAGATATATCAGAAGCTGCTGTAATTCAGACTGTATATGTTGGAAAGGGATGGAATGCTGTTTTTAAGCTTGCGTAATATATATATATATATATTTATCTCATAAGCCATTAAGAGTAGCAGGAACTTGAACTCCTAATGTACCACAACCTTATATTTCTAAGCTAATTGAATTTTCAGATGTTTATTTGAATAGTTTCTTGAGACAAAGTGCAACTAACTGTATATAATTTGCTAAATTAGTCCCATGTATCAGCTGAGAAAATAATAAAGAAAAAAAGCAGCCCTCCTTTAGTAAAAAAACAAATCCAGCAAAGAATAAAACAGCAAGCCAAGGAAAACGTTACTATCTCCCTGTTATGTCATTGTTAACTGACGAAACAATTTTACAGGTAGAGAGATTGAAAAAATTGTGTTCTTTTTCTTTGCTCTAAAGTGTTATTACACTCGCATTTTTCTTTTTGCCCAATGAATGAAATCTGTCTTTGAACAGATATAGCTTTCTGGATTGTTGCCTAAGTAATTCCTCCTTCCATTTTTGAGAAGTAAATAGCCATACATGGCAAAAGAGCATAGAAACTTTGGTGGGCCTCAAAAGACCCAATTTTTCAGACTGAAACAAATGCTTCCTACTTTAGAAAATTTGATCTGGGGGGAGCCATAGAGCCTTGTCCAGCATTTCTAATTTGGGTCCCTCCAAATGTGTTGGTCATCCTACAGGTCTGTAGTGTGGTCATTAATAGTTGACATTGACTTGATGAGCCTGAATCAATGCATCAGATAAATTGGGATTACTAGAACAGAGATCAGATGGGGAAAAATTGATCTAGCATTTGGAACACACTAGTCAACATGAATATTATCTCTGTTCTTGACTGCAATTATTATTATTAACTATTTAAATGAAGCCACATAACATTTAGGTAGAAAACCATGTTGACAACTGGAAAGAGTGTAGAGATATCTGGTAGCAGGAGGGTATAGTGATCTACACCAGAGTAATGTAAATATCCTGGGTTCATTCTTTGATATATGTGGTTAAAGTTAGTAAAACCTTAGTTCTGCAAATGATTGTTGCTAGCACTGTCCAGAGGAGCTGCAGAGTTCCCTTGTAGCAGAAAGAAAAACCCCATAGTCCAGTCAACTGGTTCCTTTTTTCCCTAAGGATAGGTGACAGTGGAGTAGGCTGGGTGTGGCTATTCCCTCTGCTTTGGGGCTTTGTTTTAAAAGCATTTTCTCAATTGTAAATATAAACTTAGTGGATGTGCACAAGTTTACTGCTGTACTTTGGTAGCTACAAGGGCAGGGTAGTATCCGTTACTCATTCCATGCACATACTGAGAGAAGCGGTATGGGGACAAAGGACAAGGTTTCTTGCAACTAGAACTGGTGCATGCATATAACAGTATTATAGAAGAAATAGTATTATTTGGGCCTTGCCTCACTACTTTGGTATGAAGATGTGACTGCTGTGACATAACATAGCACGTTAAATGCTTGACATTTTGTTAACATTAATGGGCTCTATAAACTTCGTTAACACCTGCACCAAACAAAGATCTAGCTAGTATTTGTGATGTTGGTACAGACCTCTCTGGTAGTATTTGTCTTTCCTTGTGTGTAACTGTAAAAATGACAGATGGGTACTATCAGTCCATTCGCTATTAACTTTTTTGTAATTACCCAAAATAATAATGGGTTAAGGATGGGGTTTTTTGTTATGAAAGCAATAGCAATAGCACTTAGACTTATATACTACTTCACAGTGCTTTTACAGCCCTAAGCAGTCTTACAGAGCCAGCATATTGCCCTCAAGACATCTGGGTCCTCATTTTACAAACCTCAGAAGGATGGAAGGTTGAGTCAACCTTGGTGAGACCCAAACTGCTGGCAGCCAGTGATCAGCAGAAGTAGCCTGCAGTACTGCATTCTAACCATTGCGCCACCTGATGGATGGAGGGTTCTATCTAGAAGGAAACTGAAATTTCTGGAATACTGCATTTTTAAGACATTTGATTAACTTAGAATTTAATATGGCATGATGTGCAATGGTTTTATGAAGTAATGGAACAATATTGAGAAGATAAATATTGTGAAGGTCAATAGCAGTTGTATTCTTGTGACACACAAAAGCTAAAAATCTTCAAATTAAAAAAAGGCTTAATTAAGCAGCACTTATTGGTATTCTTGCCCACCTGACCTTATTGTCAAATTGGTCAAATTATTTGACAATTAATTGACTTATTTGACTTATTATATATAGTCGAATTTCATGGCTTGCCACCATGTCCAGGTGCATTACTTGGGGGCTGTGCAACCTGGGGCCTGAGGTTAAGTTTTAATATATGTTAATTCCTGGCCACCATTTTGGTTCAGTCAATAAATCTGGTTTAAGACCATCACATGGTATGGATAATATAGCTAAATGTGTAATTAACTTAAACATGTTACAAAATACAATCGGAGACTGAAAATCCCGTGATATCAAATCAACAGTGACCTTATATAAGCATATGAAAAAGTAATATACTTTTATGATGCCAATGCCTTCACCTATCATTTGCATGCAGCTGCTCTCACTACTCACATACCTAACCTTTTTCACATAACCACAGACCGTGATGGGAGTCGTACATTTGAAGGTACTAAACTACAGAAGGCTAAAGACTGCTGACTGGGAAGCATTATAGTAGCTTCCAAACTGTACATATCCAATGGTTATCATCAGGAATGCTTTTATACAGTATGTTTTTCAAATGGATACAAGAAGCATGAAAAATATGACTTTTCCAGACTTATTTTTGTCCTTAGGAAGGTACCCCACAGATTAATGGTAATAATAATAAATCATACTCCTAAGAAATCTTTTTGTAATTTGTACTGAGAGTTGGGAGGAGTGTATCTAAGTTTATAGATTACAAATGCTGCAAAGTCTGTTATTTTTGTTGCAATTTATACCTATGCAAGATAAATCAATAAATGATTTTTCTTAAAAGTGGTGAAACTAGTCATCAATGAACAAAGAAATTTGTGTTGTCAGAGAGGAGTAAAATGGAAGTAGAGTGGTAATTCTCATCAAAGATAATGGCACTACATGTTTTTGTCAAATAGATCACAGACCATATGCAAACATATACCGCCCCCCCCCTTCCTAAGTTGATACAAATCGCCTATGATGGAAGGAATCCCAAGAACAGCCAATCTGCTGAAAAAGTTACATAATTAAGAAAGAAATTTATACTGCTGTTTAAACTACTGTAGTTTAATTTTAAGAAAACATTTGATGTCAAGGCTTAACTAAAATCAGGATTGCAACTTTTCCAATCAGGTTTTTAAAATAGCAATAGCTTTGAACTTATTTTTTAATTGTGCACATTTCTTATGAACAGTTGTTATAAATAGCCCTTGGAATACTTCATACAATTCTGGTAATTGCACCTTTTTTGTAGTGCTAGGAAGGATGTAAATAGGATACCCAAAATAATTAAGCTATCTTCTAGCTCAAAAAGACTACAAACTATTTTTCATTCAAAATTTGATAAATGTATATAAAAGCAAGGTAGAAATTTTCCTAATACCAGAACTTGGCAACCATGCAACAGTATGAAACTCAGGGGGATACAAGATAAGGCAATTATTTATAAAGCACATAGAATTTGCTTTCTATGAGATGAATGTGATTGGTGATACTGGGTTAATTGTTTTTTTTTTTTTTTTAAAGCTAGTCGAACCTGTAGAGCTACTGATTTCAGTGAAAGTCTAATACCTTCAGAATGAAAAGCAGCATTTGCTAAATACCAGTTGTAAACACCTGATTTTGCTTAGGCTTTTGCACAACCCCTTAAGTCACTTGTATACAAAAAGACAGGTTTGATTCAGCAGGATCTTTCCTGTTTGTCAATTTGATTTTCTACAAGATTCTGAAAGCATTTTAGTTAATCTCCAGTTCAGGAGAACAACCAGCTAGCCCTTCAAGACTTTTCAGAGAAGAAATTTCAGCCATATAAAACATATTTACAAATTACGTCTAACCTGATTTACATTTTATGCAACAACAGGATTAGTGAAGTAATACCCCATTTCCTTTAAAATGGAGAGAACAACAAACTTTTCTTTTTTACCAAATTGTTCTTTTTAATGTTGACACCATGCGAGCCTCAGTAGTTTTTATGTGCGGCTCAAAAAGGAGAACACAGCACTGTGACTTTCTTAATGCTTGCCAGCATTGTACATTCATCTTTCTTAACAAAAGAATGAAATAAAGAAGACACCAGACTAAGGCCTCTGCTTCCCTTGGTATTGAAAGTGGAGACAGATGTAATACAGGGTAAAAAGCAATAGCACAGGTTGCTACCTTGCATTAATCTTCCTCACACTGATTTGTTCTGACAGGGCTCCCTTAATGTTGCAGATGCTGAGCATTTTGTTAAAAAAGCCAGACAGATATAGCCATTTTCCTTAATCTGGTATCTTCCAAGATAGATTGGTCTGCAACTTCCATCTATCTCATATAGCATATCTGTTAACCATGCTTGCTGGAGAATTGTAATCCAACACATATACAGCACATCAAATTTGGGAAGATGGTATAAGTAGTCCTACCTGCTCTTTAATGTTTATAACTTAAAAAAGGCTGATTATTCCAAAAAATGGTTAGAATGGAATAAATCCAACAGGGAAAATGCTATTCAAAGTTACAAACCAGTTAACTACAAACCACATTTTTTCATGCTTTCTGCTTTTTAAAAACACGATGTAGTTAAAATGTCAGTTCAGAATGAGTGCCTTGAAGAGACACAGCTACTAAAGTTATAAAATCACAAAAATGACTTTAAATTTTAATGGTGGATTCAATAAACCTCAGCCCACCTCTATGAAGTGTCTGTAAGTGTCCCAGAAAAAATATGGAGAGGCTGAAACAAGTTTCCAAGTTGGTCTCTAAAGCATTAAATTAAACAGGCAGCTATTTCTGTAATGTGAAGGGAGCTGAATATGCAGAGGCCAACGATAGCATCTATTCATGGTAGGAAGGAAATGTGACCTTCAAATTGGTTTGGAAGCCATGAAAATAAATGGACAAATAACCAAAAACAACCTTGCACTCTGACTTTCTTGTTCCTAATGTGCCCACATAGCTGGGTGCAAACCTAGATATAGCATGCAGTCGGAAGCCTCTACAGTTTGTAGGAAAAAAAGATAAGTTTTGAACATAATATATAATATATGAAATTCTCTTTGGCCTCCAAATCTCACTTTCAAAACTCTCCTTTTCTTTCAGAAGAATGAAGTGTGGGCAAACAAGCTTGCAAACACACACTGAACTTCTAGGATTTCATTGAAATCTAAGGTTTGGGATGAGGCTTGTTTGGGAGGTTTCCTTTTTGACAGTTGTCATCTATGGTCATGGTGAAATTAGAGAGAGACCTGGTACCTGTTTCAAACCATTGGAAATATGGGGAAGAACTGTTTCCTCCCTGCCAAATGCCACATATTCTTAACCTTAAATGCTTGGGATTTCAGAAATTCCCAATGGCAAAAGAATAAGTTGGCTAGCCTAATGAAGAATGTGGGAATGGGGAAAACACAGGTACTTCATTTTCTTATACCTGTATTCTCCTGAATGCACATGCTCACAAGCACACTCACACATAAAACCACCATAATAAAAACATAAAAATCATGACTAAGAGCTCCAGGTGTACAAAATGTTTTGGGAAAAGGGAGAAGGTGGCTGCTGGTCAGTCCCATCTGTTCGTTGTCACCTTCATTAGTTTCAATGGAAAACCCACATTCCCTGAAACTTCCTCCCCAACCCCAGGGCCCCCACCCCCACCCCAAAATCTTCCACAGTAGAACATCAGCTGCAAAGGATTTTGGTTAAGCTGCTCCAGGTTTTTGAATTGAAGAAATGGAGAGGGAGATGTGAATTTCTCAATTTCCGAAAAGATGTTCAGCAGCCACCCGCTGGAGTCACAATAGCTGCTTGAGATTTCACTTTATGACGTTGGCCACCACGCCTCCGGCCACCACCCCCAGCTTTTGCCTAGGGAAAGGGGTGGGGAGAAAAAAAAGCCCAAGTTAGAATAAGACAGACAAGAGATTTTGGATGACCAAAGAAACTGAGAAGAAAAAAAAAGCACAAATACAAGTCACAGTGTTGGGTATTGGATATGTGTAAGCCCCATAAAAAAACCATCTTCCACCTAAGCTTTCCCAATCCTATTCGGAAGAGAACATCTCGCTGATGCTTTTCTTATTGTCATGGTGGTGGGTTATTCTCTGTTATTGTAACTGCTAAGTGGCACAAGCACTGCAGCAAAATAAAGTGGGCATGGAGCATTTCCACCATGAATTAAAATCCAGTAATATAAGAGTACCTGATTATCAGCAACCCTAACATGACTGGTATAGTTTAGGTGATCTTTGCGTATTTCTCTTTCCACTGTAAATTCCTTTGAAATTTGTAACAATGAAAAACAAGCTATAAATAAAATCAAATAATAAATGGGAAATGAGTGGATGAGAAAATATTTTCATAACAATTCTCTCTGAAGGTTCCTGAGTTTCATGAGAATTCAATTTAAAGATTATGACGAGCTCCCTCCAAGCCTGTGCTCCTAAGGCGTGTAAGCCATAGTAGAGGAAATACCTTATTTCCCTCTTGATTGTGGGATTCTTCATCCAATGCAGGCTGAAGGAAAGCATTGGGAAAAGAAAAGCAGAGGTAAGCTGAACACAAGACAGACAAATAACCAAGACAAACAGACAACTAAGATTGGACAAAGGGAGTTCTGTTCCAATTCATGTGGAAAGCTCTAGACAGATAACACATGGCGGGAGACAAACCAAAGGCACAAACACACACAGGCCAAAGGAAGAAAGAAGACTGGTGTGCTAGATAAATACTGATTGCAGATACAGAGCACAACTATCTTAAATTAAGGAGCGCTGCTATGCTAAAACTCTCAAGCTTTTGTCAATTTAACATGCTACCTGCCCAAAGTTTACAATGGCATCTTAACAGTTAAAATGCAATAGAATACTATAAATTCTGCAAATGAAAACCTCACAAAACTGTAAAAACTTATCTTGCAGAAACAGAAATTTGAATTGGATACATTTTATGCCTTCAATGTAAGTCAAGGAAAGCCCCATAATTGAAGAGGGAGTTCATTCTACACTTTGGGGCAACTGTAAAAATAAGACTCTCTCAGTAAATCCTTACTATATTAACCAACATCATAAAGGAAACAGTTGGATCCACAAACTGCAAAAGAACTGCAAGCTCATGTGGAAAAGATTTAACATCCCACGAACTATTAAACAGGACACTTAAAGTTGAGGCAGACAAACAGCGGTCTCACTCTGAACTAAATAAAAAGCTTAGGATGTTCATTATGGGATAGATGGAAATAAACTTCCATTTAAAAGGAAACAAAGATACAAGCAGTTTCCTTAGCTACAAGATTATTACCCTGACATTTGTGCCTGTGTTGGGACTCATTTTTATGATGTAGTCATACCAATTGTGGACAGAAAAACAACTCTGAACACAGTTTTAAAAATGAACATACAATACCCTGCTTGATTATTTTCTTTTGACATAGCAGGGAATGGGAATCAGGATGCAAAGGCTTGTTCAACAAGGCTTAGTTTAAAAAGCATTTTCTTAATATGAACTCAGCAAAATCAGTGGAGGAGGAATGGTGGTTCCCTTTAAGGTAAGCCTGGGAAAGGCACTTTATCTACCTGTGGTTGTTGAGCACCCAATGGTGCTGAGGCAACTGCTGCCAGTGAGGCAGCATCCTCTGCCGCAGAGGAAGTCAGCACCGCTATGCCAGCCTGGGGTCCACTCTCTTCGCGCTTGGTCAAGGGTCCCTTTTTTGTAGACTGCATCTTGATTTGCTGGGGCTTTGAGTTCATGGGAGAATTATTGGTGGTCTGGAGTAACTGCCAGTCAAAAACAGATAACCAGAATCAGGATCTTTGCTGAGTGTTGGGTTTTACTTTAAAGCACAGAATCAACCAAGCAAAGTTGATGTGACTTTAGATACTTAGAAAAAGAAGCTAAGCTCTCTCATCTCCTACAACTCCTGAAGCAGGAAGAAACTAAAGTTAGTTTCTTTTTTAAAAAAATCCAGGAGCTTAGGGAAGGCCAAACGTTATGTAAAAGAGAGATGCTAACAGCAAAATAATATTTAAGCCATTTTCATTTATTCTCTTTGAATGATATATAAAATTATATTCTGATTTGGCAACCAAAACCTTCTGAATTTGCCATGCTTAAAAAAGGATGATTTACATTGCATTTGTAAATATGAAGAATCCATTTGGAATAATACCTTCATTCCAAACAGAAGCAAGGCTTAAAGTACACAGAACTGTAACTGGATTTGCAAGCCTTTAGAAAAGATGGCTATTGCAGCAATTTTTAATTTCAATGGAAAGAACACTGATGCAGGACACCTAAGATGATTTCATTTTGGATGGGGTAAAAATTCTAAAAGATACTTGACTTGTTATGGCATCTCTAAAAAAAGAAGGTCCAAAACTCCATCCTTTTCTCACTAGCTTCCCAGTGGATCCTTCCAGCAGAGCTAAATGCAAATTCAGATAGACAAGCAACATTTTGCCAAACTAAAGTTCCTTACTGAACAACAACGCTCAAACTTGTTCTAGCTACCCGGGCTGAAAGCTCTGAAAAAATGGGAACAGAACCATCTTAAGCATAGAACTTGCTGTAAAATTAATCCCATCTAACACACTGTAAGCTTTAAGAAAAATATAGAGATACTGGAAAATAACAAAATTGTTCATCAATTATGTACCCCACCATTAACTAGCAACAAGCAGTAACTGGAAACAAAGCAATACACTGTTTAATCAATGAAGAAGAGAAATTATGCAACTGCAGATGCCAATCTCTGAAACTCCTCCCCATCCATTATTACCTTGGTGATAGTGCCAACTGCTTTGGTACGCCCCTCACGAAAAACTAGCCGCTGGTCTATGTGCAAGTACTCTGGAGTTTTGATGAAGCGGAAGTGGACGGTGGCTTTGTCCCCAGTGCGTAAGCAGTCTTTGTCCATGCTAAGGATAGTGGCTGTTTGGCGAATGCTACCACAATGTACTAGAAACAGTAAGAATCTCACTGGCACTCAGAATATCACCAGGGAAACAAATATTGGCAATATACATGGATGTTATTAATTCACCACACAAAATAAGTTCAATTTCCTTTGTTATGTATATGGATCTCTGACTAATAGGAACAACATCAAAACTTTACTCTTGTTACTTTCCTTAGTGAGCCCAGATCTTCATTGCTCAGTGGCATTCTTAAGCAGTGAGGGATTCCTCTAATGACAAATCTGAAGGCTTCCCATATGCCATGCTTTCCTCAAAACCTCTATCCTGTAAGATACAGGTTAAAAAAAATCACATGCAGCCCCTCGCTCTCTTCTCCCCACCGCCGGGTCACCCATCAAACCTAGCACTAAAACGGAATTTGTACAGTGGTGCAAGTCATTGTGAAACTTTTGGAATGTGGCAGAAGAACATCAAGATTGTTGGGTGATCCGTGTCTAGGCTGCACCCTAGACACGGATCACCCAACAATCTCGATGTTCTTTTGCCACATTCCAAAAGTTTCACAATGAATAGTACTCTTTTTGCTAATTGTTGGTGCTGTCCCCTTAAGTTAGAGATGCAAAATATTAAGAGCTGCACCTGGCCTCTTAATGTTCTGTTTGAGGAGGGAAGGATTAAGTTAATAGCAATACTCCTAATCTATTTAGTAATTTTACCATTTAGAGGGGAGATGGGACTGCAACAAGAGCTTCAGGAGCAGAAGATAGTCTTGGCCCTATGTTGTACACTCCTATTCTTATGGAGAATAAACCACTACCATTTAATATTTCACTACTATTATAATTAATATTTCAAGCTAAAGTACAACAGGTGTATATAAGACATAGAAAGCAACTTCACATACCCATTGCCTGATAACGTGGACTGATAGTGGTGGGATGGTGGAGTACCAGAATCTCTGCTTCAAATTCCCAAGAGGCTTGAGGATTCAACCGAGGTGATACCATCACCATGCCTTTCCTAATAGAGGAGCGTTTGATCTGGTAAGAGAGTTATCAAAATCAAACGTAGGCTCATTGGAAAATAAACATACTTCTGTGGTATTTACAGAAGAGTACAACATCTTTAAATGCAACCTCTTCTGGGAGGTTGGATGTCCGTCTATCCAACTAACCAAGTAGGACACCATTCTAAGAATAATAACTTAAAGTGGCGGCTTGGTCAAAACTTACTAGAAAGTTTTGGCAAGATTTTCAGAAGTGATTTGCCATTGCTTTCTTCCTAGGACTGAAAAAGAGTGGCAGGGCCAAGGTTACCCAGCTGGCTTTATGCCCAAGGCAGGACCAGAACTCATGGATTCCCATTTTCTAGCCTTGGGCCTTAAAGTACTATACCAAATTAGATCTCTACATTTACTTATCTAGGACTAATCCAATTGAACTCAATTTATTTCCTTAAAAAATTAGATAGGATTAATGAGTGGAAAGGAGATTATGGAAGAAAATAAAAGGGACTGCCCGTTCCTCACGCATATACATCTTTGTCATATTTCTCATTAACTTATTCCCAGTGGAGGCAATTTTGGTTTGTAATTACAGACAAAACTCACTATACCTTAGCCACCCTGAATATACAGACCAAGTGTGTATACTTCTGGATACACATGTTTACCACTTCACTGTCAGACACTGAAAATAAATGCCTTCCCAGAGCAAGTTGGCACTCACCTTTTTCAGAGCAAAGGAAGCAGTCTGACCACCCCGCACCTCTTTGACCGGCATGCGCTTGCGATGGATGGATTTCACTGCAATAGGCAAGAAGTTGCCAAGCGGATCTGGGCCTAGAAGCAAAGTGTCATTTAACTTGATTAGGCCTCTCAGGGTTGTCCCAGACACCACTGTTCCGACACCCTATTTCAGGAAGAAAGTAAAACAGGAAACAAGTGAATCAAGTTAGGACTCAAATAGCAAATTACTTTTCTCATTTCTGAAAAAGTTGACAGAAAGGTTTTTCTAGAATACTTCTGCTTACTGGCACAGAATAAGTATCATCTATCTGGAATTCCGCAGGTTCTTCTTCCCGGTAACTTGTCCTTGGAGATAAGAGATTGAGAAACATCTTCAGCAACTCCAAATTCTCACCAGTGACATTGGAAATCTGGAAGATTGGGCACATCCTAATGAGAAAAAAAGATGATTACAAAACAAATTTCTCAGGGCTCTTTACTATCTTATTCTTCATGTTTGGCTATAAAAAAAAATGATAAGATTGTGAGGGTCTACTTATATTTGCTTTAAAAAAATATCAATTTTACAAGGCTTTCCTAGAAGCCTTTTATCTCTGTTGTAAGTTATCAAATTGGGATTCAACTTGTTTTCATTAGTTACCTCTCAGAGCTGAAATTGGAGGCTGTAACAATAACATCATCTTTGCTCTGGACCAACACAGGGATCTTCCTGCATCCTGGGGACTTCAACAGTCGCTGCAGGAGCTTCAGAGTTTCTTGATGAACAAAATGAAAACGATTAGGCTTGTTTGTGGCCCTTAATTTTGATAGGGTTAGTTGAGAGCAAGAGAGAGAGGTGGAACAGGATCATCTTCCTTCTGTCAAAGGAAGCTCCTGGGTGATGGTCCCCTTGCCATTTTTCCAGCTGGACCATTTGTATTCTTCTTGTTCTCCAGCTGACAACATTGCAAATAGCACAATGGCTCATATTCAGAACTAACCAGGTACTACATCAAAACAGCAGCTAAGTACACTTCCAATTTATTCGAAATACAGTATTTACAGCCTGGAGCACCAGGATTTCAAAATTTATTTAAAAGGAGAAAAATAAGTCTTAAATAGAGCTAGAATTTAGAAAGCAAGATACAGATGTTCAGTGGGAGAGGGTTAATCAAATTAAAATTTAAAGACTGTAACAAGAACTTTGGAGGCCCTAAAACAGCTCCTTGTTTCTGCTTGCTTACAACTTTTATTCTCTATTACATGTACCTTTTCTGTTTAGAAAAACCAGTCCTAAAATAAAGCAATTCTTACAGATAGAATTTAATCTGCATTATTGCTTTGTCCACAAGTTAATTTCACAAAACACAATAGTTTAAGAAAATGTTACAAGATTTAATCTTATCATGTGGTCTAGGATCTTGTTTTGCTCTCAATATCTATTTTTAATAATGTTTGTATTAAAAAATACAAATATAAACTAAAAGAAAATATAAAAAGTAAAAAATAAGAAAGGTACAAAAAAGGGTGGGAAGAAAAAAATATATAAGGGAAAAAATGAAATGACTGCCCCCTTCATTAAGTACAAACATTTTAAATAGCTGATCATTTCAAAAGATCTCATCTTCCCATATCTCATTCTCATCTATGAACAAATTATGAAGACTGGTCATTCAACGTTCATCAGCAAAAGTCCATTAAGAGTTACCCAAAATAACAACATATATATTCCAACTATAATCAAATAAATCACTTTGTGTTCCTTTACTTTCAACACAATGATTGTTTTCTCTAATACAAAAAATAATCTTCCCATATCTCATCTCATATATAAACAAACTTTTCCCTCCTCTTTTGAACAGTCAAGAAAAATTCTTTAAGAGCTACTAGAAACAGCAACAAATTTAAAACCATCATCTTTAATTCCTTTGATTAAAATTCATTTATCATTTTCTCTTTGTCTCCTCTCAGAAACTGCCTTGCAAGTTTAACATGTAACAGAAGTATTAACTTCTGTATTTTAATCTTAATCATGTAAGCCAATTTGTGTAATCCTTTAACATCATAATTTATCACTTTCTCTGAAAATACAGACACACAACCTTCTTCTGATATATTATCTATAAACAAGTATATAAAGTCTCCTCATTCTGTCCTAGTTTAAAAAAATACTAAGCTACTAAAAACATGTATTTTTAATCTTAGTCTAATAAGTCAATTTTATATTTTTTTCTTTTTAATTTTTAAAATCTTGAAGTTTATTCTCTTTAAATACTAGCTGATTTCTTTTCGCTCTTCCTTTTTTCCCCCCTCAGGAATTCCTTCATAAGTGTAATATATCTCCTGGTAAGTCCAAAATAAGAAAGTTGTTCAAGTCACTCTTCTATCATTTATGTGTCCCCTTTATTTATTAACACATCAAGGGTTTCATTGTAAGTCCTGTATGACATCTTTTTCCATATCATTCTTGTATCTTATTATTTTTTAATCCATATCCAAAACAGTGTGGTTCTCACTTATACTTCTTCTATCCATCTATTTTTTTAAACCTATTTTTATGGTAGCAAGAGAAATTTCTGAATGCACTGTTACCAAATATTCTTTAATTCTTCCAAAGTTAAAATACTTTTTTCTGTTCTGTATTAGTGGGCCTCTTCTTTAATTATTTTTTACTATTTCTGGTTGCCTGTATCCTCAACGTTTTCCCACAGGAAGATTTCTTACACTTAGATTCAAAATCCACATATATATTAAAAGCATTTTAAATAATCCAATTAGCTTCAAAATCTTATTTCCCATCCATCTAGCCCAGGGCTGTCAAATTCCCAGCCTGTGGGCCAGATGCATCACGTGCTGGCCATGCCTACACCCAGTTTAGCTAAGGGGGGAAAAGTCCTGAAATGTCACATGATGCCGCCATGATGACGTGAGTTTGACACCCCTGATCTATCCCGTCGGTCTGTTTAAAACTTTCCAAAATCAACATAATTACCACCCTTTGCTATTTATTTCAGAATTTAAAAAAATTAAGTTCTTAAATTTATATGAAATTTCTTTCACTATGGGTTGAAGGAGAATCATCCAGTGTGATGAAAGATATTCTGAAGGTTCTTAATATCCAAAAGGTGGTTAACAAGCCATTTCCTAAAATGATTTCAGAGAGGAAGTGGGTGAAACTAGTGTCCATTTGAAAGTTCCAAACTGGGCGAAGCTGGTTTTCACTAAGCTCCCAGAACTCTTAACACCCACTGGAAACTACTATTTATGATCTCCTTGCAGGCAGCATCTCAATGAGACACTTGTGGGTGATCCCATATCCTTCCCTTTATCCAGAATTTCAAGGCTTTTCATTCCACAAAAAGCAAATCTGTCTTCAGTCCACCACTGCTTCCCTGAAGTCTGGTTTTAGGTCTCAATATTAAAATGGTAAAATAAACAAAGGCACCAAGAACCCAGAATATCCATTTTATCATCATAACAATATAGAAATGCAATTTTTGCCCAGGAGCAGGCAGCCTCATTCATTTGCCAACGTAACTGTGAAGGTGTCAGAACGGATCCTATTCCGGTCAGCTTGTTCTCTTAGAAATGCTCTGCTACAGAATGCTTATGGCATTCATTGTACTTTTATACGAAGACAATAGCTTGTCTTTGACAGAAAAAAATAATGTCCCCATGAACACTTACCACAGTAAGGAATGAATGAAGATGCTCTTGTAAAGGACAGATGTCAAAAACAGTCTACAATGTATAGATTTTGTAAAGAGTCAATTTTTGAGACCACTGGTGATAGACCAGCTTGCCAATCAACTCTGGGCTCACAGCCATTGTTCATTTTACAATGGTTTGCTGAATAAATCCAATTGTAGTTATTACACCAAGCATATGTACTAGATAAACAAAGCCCTTACTTTCTAGATAAACAAAGCCCTTATTACAGAGCTGGCTATGTAGGAGCCTTGGTCATACCTTACATAAAAGGCCTGGAAAAACTAACATCTGCAGTATCAGAAAACAGTATTTGCCTACACAAAACTACACATTTAAAAAAAGATCAATAGAAAATCACTGTTTGAAACAACTAATATGCCCTAAGTATTTTCTTTTGCTTTGCTTTTAAAGACAAAACATATGTCATTTTATTTATAATCCCCTGAAACAGAGTTGTACAGAACAGAAATAAAAAACACACTTGCATATTTTAACTCACATTGATTTTCATGGCCTGCTGTAGCATAAGATACACCCATGTCCCATTCCAAAACACAGTAATTGGTCTTGCCACTAACAACACTGGCTGCTCCTACCACAAAGTATATTAGAAACATCCTTGCTGAGGGTCCTAATTTATGATGGCCATTGGTAACCATATTCATTTTAGATAGAATGAAGAAATAATGCTTTCATTTGTTCACAAGACTCACAACTATTTGCTACAATATATAAACAGAACTTTTTAATTCCAAAATATGTCCTTTGTAACAAATGTTGGAGGACAATAATGCTGAAGGATTATTTACTTCATATCGTTTTTCTGAGTTTGTGGAAAACATTTCAAAGGCTGGACTATAAACATCTTCAATTATGTTTATGTCCTGATGCTCCTTTATGTTTTCTTACATGACATCAGCCTCCCTAAACAAGTGTCCTGCAGAGAACAGGAGCAGTAGCCCAACATATCTGAATAGTAACAAATTAAAAGAGGCTGCATTACTTCAGAGTTACCTGTAAACCCAAATCAACTTGCTAACTGCAAATGCCTGCTGCAGGTGCAATAGTTATGGTTAAATACTTACATACTTATAACTCATAGATAAGTTATAAGCCAATATAATCATCTGCCAGATTTTTACTTTTTTCTGTGTTTGCAAAATGCTATATAGAACTCACAACTTATGTGCTACAAACAGCTCCAGAAGTAAAGCTGTTTATAAACTAGTTATTAAACTAAATATTTTCCCTATTCAGACCTAACCTCCATAATTTAAGTTTTAAATATCTAGAAAGAAACAAACCAATTACTATCATATCAGGAAAAAAGTTTAAAGATCTCCACGGAAAGAAATGCCCATAACTCTTCATCTTACATTATCAAATGGATGAAGAAAACATATAAACTTTTTTTCTTAAAAGTTTATCTATGAGACAGAAGGAAAAACAACAATGATACATTGATTTCAAGCCATTTCATTGCACCAGTGTGACTGTTTTGTGAATTACAGATCACATAGGATGAATACAAATTTGAATGAATACAAAGATGAATATAAATTTTACTAACCACAGAAAATTTCTATTTCATTTATTTATTTAATTTATATGTCACCCATCTTGCTATCAAGAGACTTTGGATGGCTGGGTTAATTATTTTAATTAATCTTAATAAAGAGAAGGGGAGCTTAAAATCAATACAAATATAAAGGGTTACAGAGCTGACCTTGGAAATAGGGAAGCAATGAGCAAGCTGTTGAAGAGACCTGAAGATTACACAGTCCTAAAATAGGGGGAAATACAGGTGGTCCTTGACTCACGACTACAACTGAGCCCCAAATTTTTGTTGCTAAGCGAGACAATTGTTACGTGAATTTTCCCATATTACGACCTTTCTTGCCACAGATGTTAAGTGAATCACCGCACTTAAGTTAGTAACACGGTTGTTGAGTGTTTATCTGGCTTGCCCGTTGACTTTATTAGGTGATAGTCATATGACCCTGGGACACGGGAACTGTCATAAATATGAGTCAATTGCCAAACATCTGAACTTTGGTCACGTAACCACAGGGATGCTGCAAACGTCACAAGTGTGAAAAACCATCATGTCACATTTTTCAATGCCGTTGTAACTTTGAACAGTCACTAAATGAACTGTTGTAATTTGAGGACTACCTGTATGGCAAAGAAACTCAAAATAACCCCACCTTAATTTTGTTTAGGATAAGCTGAGACAGAGAGAAACAGGGACAGAATAACAAGATTCTGTAATTCAACCTTATGAAAAAAAAAAAAAAAGCAGTCCTGGAATCCATATTGTGCCTGGTTTTTTTGATCTGAACTACCTCAAAGGGCTAGTGTCAAATTAATTAGCAGTGACTGGAAATTAATATTTTAATATGATGCCACTACTTTCTTTGAAAGCATCAACCACAAGAAGAGATAGAAAAAGATCAGAAAAACAAAAACAGAAAAGAAAGCCAGGATGGTATAGTGATTAAGGTGTTAAACAGAATAGGGAGACTTGGTGTACTGTTAAGACTGCTATGGTTTCTCGCACAGTGAGCCTGGATTTTGCTTTTTTATCCACCTATTGAATCCTCCCAAGGACCTGGGATAGGAAGATGTTATTGTCTGATGGTGCTAAAGGTATTGTCACAGAATATAAGCCCTTGATGGCGAACCTATGGCACATGTGCTGGAAGTGGCATGAGAGGTCGCCCGGAAGAGCCCCACTGAGCATGCACACATGCACCGCTTGCCAACTGATTGTTGGGTATCTGGTGTGCATGCGCGGGGTCAAGGGTGCGCAGGAGGGGTCTTGCACGCATGCTCAGAGATGCGCAGTGCGGGGATCACGTGTGATGCGCAGACGCGTGGCGTGCACGGGGATTATGTGCACATGCTCAGAGGGCATGCCCCCCCCCCGCTCGCATTGCCTTCTGGGTGCTGCCACGTGAGCCCAAAAAGGTTAGTCACCACTGATATAAGCTATTCCCAGTAAGGGTGCCTTTTGCAATTGACTGGTGATTTTGTCAATGCCAATAATGCTCAAGTGGTGCTCCAGTTCTTTTGGGATTGCACCCAAGGAACCTATTATTATTATTATTTACATTCGTATAGGACTCTGAGCAGTTTCAGCTTTGCCCTCAGTCATAAAAGCTCTTTGAACTTTTCTCAAGGCTGATGTGGAAAATTAGGAATATTTTTGTACAATATATGTATGTAGTGAGAGTCAGTCTAATGTGATTAAGAAACCAGGCTAGAAATTAGAAGGCAGCAAATCCTAGTCCCTCCTTAGCACAACTGAGATGAACACAGCAAAGAGAAACTGTTGTAGCAATAACCATTTACCTTGAAGTATGTTAGCCGGACACATATCAATCTTGGTCACCACCACAAAGACTGGAACATTAAGTGCCAATGCCAGACCTAGGTGCTCCTTGGTCATCCCAACAATTCCAGCATTGCTGCCAACCTGTATTGAGATAAAGTTTAAGGAAAAACAACTGTGACTATGAGGGCATTAAACAATGGTTTATGGGTATGCCAAAAAAGATGGGCATAGACAAACACTTCAATCATGTGAGAAAAAAATAGGAGTTGTAGCAAAGTAAAAGTTGGTCTATTTGTCATATGAGAAATGATTTTTCAGCGTTAGTAACACCATTTGTGAGGATAATTTGAAGAGCATAATTCAAGAGGAACCAGAGTCACCTTAGGTCGTGAACCAGAGGGAAGGTGTCTTAATGAAGTAAATATTCCAGCCTATTCAAAATGTTATCTAAAAAGCATTTTTCCACATTTAAAAACTTCTCTGTAGTGTCTGATTTTTGTGTCCAAGCACTTCCCAAGCTTCCCTTTATTTTAGGATGGGATATGCACCTCAGAATCAGCATACAATGACAAAGGGAAGCTACCTGCTTGCTACTGTCATGGAAGAAAAGTCACTGATACAAACATAATCTAAATCAATTCTTATTAGGTTACCATCACAAAGTTACTTTTTTGTTTTTCCAGTGTAAAGAAGAATGTTCAATAAGCCAACAGGAGCCCATGTTTACATGCTTTGCATGCATTATTACTTATGTCTTTGGGATAATCCCACGTGGCACAGAGATATTTCTACTAAGTTTTACATTTTGTATTTGAGCAGCAACTTTCATACATATTGTAAGCTGCCCAGAGTTGTTCTTGATAGTGAGATGAGTGGCATATAAATTAAACAAATAAAATACATTCTGTACAATTCAAAAACAAAGTTAGGCTGAGAAATATCATGTAAAATCAAGACAAGCCACAAAACATGTTTCATGAGCAGAAGATAGACGACTGAAGTTCCCAACATTCAGTTTGGTAAAAAGTTTTAGTATGTAAATTCTACCATATTATTGTTGTTGTTACTGTATTTATTATTGCTGTTATTTATCATATAAATTATATTCAACTGTGAGTCAAGAACAATGTTAGAAAAGGGCTGCTTTACCACAAACACCTTTCCCTACAATTAGCATTGCTTACCATTAGCATGCAAAAATCAGGGAGATGCCCAGTCATGCCAAAGACTGTAGTCTTCAAGTACTTCTCATGCCCAGCTAGGTCAATGAAGGTTATGACTTTTGTTGATTTCTCACAAATCTTGGTCCACTCCAAACTCCCACCATGGCTGTCAGGCTTGTTCACGACGTTGCCTTCGCTGTCAAAGCCCAAGATGTCATTGCCCACACTGCTGGTACGGCCTGATTCAATCTCATGCTTGTGGCGAAAAAGTTTTTGCCGAGCAAAACCACGTCCATTGTCCAGCTCACCATGGGTCAGAACCCCCAGCAAAGTGCTCTTCCCAGCATCCACATTGCCAACCACCGCTACCCTATAGGAAGACAAAAGAAAGTGATAAATTTCTTGGACTTCAATGCAACAATTCGAATCAATTTCCTCCTGTCAATATAGAATGAAAATCAGCAGCATATTCAAAACGTTGCAACATATATTTTAAGAGCTACTTCATAAGGTTCCAATCACAAGTTTCCACATCATATAAAACATAACTAAGACTAAAGGAGGAAAAAGTCACCAATGCCGTTGTTAGAACATTGAAATCTCACAAGGATGTGCACAATGACATAATCAGTACCAAAACTATTTCCCAAACACCAGTGTCTTCATTCAAACCTAAATCCAACACAATGAGAAGACCCTCGGATTACAATTTTGTCTTATAACTCTTCAGAGCTAGCACAACTGCTAAAAGCCATCATGTTTTATGCTGTAAGTAATACATTATCTGCACTCTGCAGCATAACATAATACTGAAATTTATCATTCCATAGCAGTTATTTTTTACGTTTACATCTTGCTTTTTCTCACCAGTGTATTCCTCTAATTTTACCCCATATCAACAGCTATGAAGTAGATTGAGATGAGCTGGAGTGATACAACCAAACAAGTCACCAAGTGACTTTCATGAATCCCTGACCCAATTTCTGTATCTTAATGTCTAACTCCGCTACTGCTCAAAGTGAATATGGGGAGAGATGGTGGAAGAAGAAATTTGAATCAAAGCTTGATTCAAAAACATATAAATTTGAAAAACGATAGCCAACAAACTTGAACAACTTGAATACGTCCATCAGACCTGGACCAAGTTCAAAGCAGGAAACTGAGAATTCAGAAAAGCATATTCCCTTTTGGAAATTAGATATTCCTGCATGACCCTTCCCAATCTGAGTCAATCTAATCCTGCTAGTGATGTTGGATTATAATTCCCATTATCGATTAGGCTGACTGGAAGTTACACAGGTAGTCGACCTATGACCACAACTGAGCCCAAAATTTCTGTTGCTAAGCAGGACAGTTAATAAGTGAATGTTGTCCAATATTACAATCTTTGTTGCCATTTGTTAAGTGAACCACTGCAGTCGTTAAGTTAATAATATGGTTGTTAAATGAATTTGGCTTCCCCATTGACTTTACTTGTCAGAAGATCACAAAAGGTGATCACATGGACCTGGGACACGGCAATATGAGCCACTGTCAAGCGGCCAAATTTTGATCATGTGACCATGCAGATGCTACAAGAGTTGTGAGATAAATGATCATAAGTCACTTTTTTCAGCGCCATTGTAACTTCAAACAGTTACTAAATGAAAGTTGAGAACAACTTATAATAGAACACCTCCTAAAGGCTATAGGATCAAGAAGACTGCTGTCACAATATAGGAAACACTACAAGGGATTGTTATTATTTGGACATTTTCCTTTCAGCGATACTGAATCACTAACATCATGGCCAAATCCTTAACCAAGCTGGACTGTTTTCTTTCTTGACTGCCCATTACACAATGTGAAAATATAAGTACATATTCACAGAACCCCTACTATATACAGCTGGCACATGGCATGTTAGTTCTGTACACATCTACAAATTTTCTACACTGACATAGTCACAATGGCAACCTGAGTGAAAATATCCCTTACAGATGCCCTGCAAATCTTAAGAGCATCTCAAAAATGCTGTCCTGACCCTTCAATTAGCTGTAAATTTTAAAAAGTTTTTAAAAATAGATCCAGTGGAGTGTTATACTCATCAAGGAAACTCTCATTGAATGATTTGCACAGAGCTAGCATAGTCAACCTTTGCTTACCTTCAAAACTAAATGGGTCAGACTTATTTAATACTTGGTTGGGAGATCATCACAGGAGTCCAGAACTGGGGTGGAAAGACAACAGCAGCCCAAAAAGAAAGCAGTGGTGAACCACTTCTATACTGTGACTAAGAAAACAACTTGTACACATTCATGAAGTCTCTAGCAATCAATCTGAATGTACAACTTTACCTTTTAACATGTACATTAATCTTAAGTGTTTTAAAGATACCCCACTACACATACATTTTGGAGATGAAGGGAGAAGGAGGCTGCATAAACAGCATTTGCCAAAGAATAGCAAATTAGAATTGACTTAGAAGAAATTCTTAACTACATTCCAAGTTCCTACTATATTTCCATACAGCTAATAAGAATGGCATAAGTTTTTCATCTTGATACTCACCAATTACTATTAAACAAAACTGGAAAAAATATTTCTAGTTCTTAAGCGTCAGGATCAAATTTCAAGAGCTGCTATGTGCCAACTGAGTAAAGATAAGAAAAAGGTGAACAACTTAAGACACCAGTATCAACTTTTTATCTGGAAAATCCAGATTCATGGAATGCTTCCAAATGGGTTTAAATTCTCATCATGAGCATGTTTCCATGACCTGTTTCATACATAATACTGGTTTGTTGAGTGGCAGAGCTCACCAGAACACTATACCCAAACCAAATATGTTTTAGTTTAATATGCTGTCTGTCCACAGTAAAAAATAACTGAGCATAAATGTATAAGACAGTTTAAGCCAACCCTTAAAAAGTTAGTTGAAAAATCTATAAAGAAAGTAAATGTTTGCCTTTTGTTGGATATGAAAAATAGAATTTGCAATGTTCTAACCATAATAACTAGGAAACTGCCATTCAGACACTTCTTTATAAGAATATATACTCCTAGTCCCAACCATAAATTTATATGCATAGCATGAAGGAGAAAAAAAATTAATTAGACCAAATTACTTCCATAGTCAAACCAGAGTTACCAGATTTTGCCACTGCTAGTACAAGCTGTAGCAGCAGGTATTATGCTGACTAAGCAAGCCTCCATATCTTTTCTTACCTGACCTCTAGGAAATCGTTATCACCCACACGTTTCCGCACCAAATAATCACGCACTTTGCCTCCTGCTTCTTGGTGCTCTCGCAAGAGAATTACATCAGCATCTATTTGTTCTGCCATGCTCTTCACTGTGGCATAGGAGGCTTCCATGTCTCCATCACTAAGCCCATAGTCAGTCCCATCTGATGAAGCATTAGGAAGGAAGGAGGAACAGTTACATGAACTAATTATAACAGATTTAAAGGTACTTTGTCCCTCCTGGTCTCTTAACAGATTAGCCAAGGGGTTCTATTATTTAAAAGTTTGTACACTTAAAGGGCATTGATTAAAATAGGCAAGATAATGGTAGAAGAATAAAAAATACTTATAGAGCCACTTGATAATGAGATGCACGGCACATAAATTTAATGAATGTGTGAATAAAAGCATACAAAAACAATCTGTAGGACATGGAGGTATGTTACCTGGGAGGGGGTAAGTGCACATTTCACTGATGTAACCTGCCACCCTTTCTTTTCTCTTTTCTACCAGCAGAAAACTAACCTACCCAAACACACCTAGCTGCATTTCTATGCAGCCCTTGTTTATCTGATGTCTCAGAAGGAAAAGGAGTTTAGAGGCTACATGCAATCCTAAAATTACATATTACACCCTCTAATTGGGGAAGAAATATCTTCTGTATTACAGGTAGTCCTTGACTTACAACCATTCATTTAGTGACAGTTTGAAGTTACGTCACTGGAAAAAATGACGTGATAGGTTTTCACACTAATGACTATTGTAGCATCTCCACAGTCATGTGATTAAAATTCATATGCTCAGCAACTGACTCATATTTATGATGGTTACAGTGTACTGAGGTCATGGGATTGTCTTTTGTGACCTCATGACGAGCAAAGTCAATGGGGAAGCCTTATTAACTTAACTGCAGTAATTCATTTAACAACTGTGGCAAGAAAGTCATAAAATGGGGTAAAACTCACTTAACAAATGTTTCACTTAGCAACAGAAATTTTGGGCTCAATTGTAGTCATAAATTGAGGAGTCCTTGCATTGTTTTCATTTTATATAGCTAATCTGAACATCATTTATCAAAATCACATCAACCATCAACGTTCATATTTTCTCCCTGAACAAAACTGAAATCCTTCATGAAGAATGTATGTAGTGTATGTATAGAAATTACTATACATACACTGTATAGTTGTATAAAGGACAGTATTTCAGTTTTGTTCAGGGAGAAAATATGAACATTGATGATTGATGTGATTAATTAATTGGCACTGACAACTGAAAACAATGCTTATTATGGTGTGATTTAACATTAGCTAGAAGTGAAGATGAGGAAATCATCTTGTTCTATTACGGAATAAAGTAGGTATTATATAGTAGCCTTTTTTCTCAAGCACAGTCAATTGAGCTACTTCTGCAAAACCACTATTTTTTAAAAGCTCAGCATTTGGCATTGAAAATAAACCAGAGAGTAGTTACCTGAACCTTGACCAATAACATAGATGGTCTCTCCACATCCTTCATCCATCCTCTCCCACATCTGTTGGAGTAAACTATCATACTGTTCGGATGTTGGGCTCACCATTACTAGCTAAATAGAGAGAGTGGGCATTTACTTCTTATAAACTATGTGAAAAACAAGTTATTTATCTTAAGATATTGTTTTAATCAATGACAAGTCAATAAACAAACACATTGAACAATACAGCTAAAACAAAATTCAAGCAACATATCACGTTTCTGTTAAACTGTTCCTAAGTCCCTTCAATGAATGCCCCTTAAAATAAATATTTGTTTGAACTGTATTGTTTTCAGAAGGAAATAAATGATAAAGAAAAACAGTGATAGAACAAAACTACCCAGCTATACTACTTAATTAGGAAACAATATTAAAATGATTTTTAATATCTGAAATTGACTTCATTTTCAAATACTGTATTTACACTATGAGGAATAAAGTTTAAGTCTGCTGCTTCTGACACAGTATAAAATATCCAGAATTTTATCGTGTTTGACAGGATACATAACTATTCCAATACTTTAAGAACAGCTTCTATTTACCTAGATCTGCAAAGTTCAGTACAGCATAGCAACAGAAGCCTGATCTGTCAGTATCTTATCAGATTACACAAATAGTGAAAATTGCTCAGATCCCTTTCCAGTCCATCACATAACCATGCCCAGCAGGTTAACAAACACTGAGGTGCTACCACCAGTTCTTTGATCAGAAAAATGCAATATTAAAATAGATGGTATCCAAATGTCTATACACACAACTTTATACCCCAACTTTAAAACAAGAATCAGTGGACATATAAGAAAAAAATTAATCAAGGTTACAATTCTAAAAATGTTTAAGTCCCACTTTTTTCTTATTTATGGGAAAACTCATTCAGGAGTATAGGATACATGTATTAACTTTCTGAATCCAGACACGTGCCAATGGTGAATGCCACGTACTCCGACTCAGATCCCGCGAAGGACCCAGGTTTTACACTCTCACAAGTATCTTCTTTCAGACATACGTCTCGTAATCGTTATCCGCGACAAAGGCAGAAGAAACCAACCTTTTACCATCTCCTAGCAAATTCACTTACAGTAACATTAGTGAAACGACCCCGAGCGAAGTTCCCCAAAGACTATCAGAACAAGGACAGACCTGGTATGGGTGGTAAGAAAGGGAACCGCGCTCAAATGAAGGACAGAGGCGGCGAAAGGAGCGCGACCCGGAGTAGTCACAGCCGACCTCCGGCCGTCTCAGCTCTTGTCCCCAGCCCCGCCAGGCCTACCTTGCTGGTAAGATCGAGCTCCGGCTCTCCATTGAGCAGCTCTCCGTCCTCGCTGCAGTCGGCTTCCGGGACGCCGCCGTGGGGCCTGGAGAAAGCCGCCGCTGTCCCACCGTGCGCCACGGGCTCTGGGGCGAACATCGAGGCCGGCACTGGCGAGCCCCCCACCGGAGAGCGACTCCTTTCCGTCGCCATCTTGGCAGTGCCAGCCTCCTTCCCCGGCCTCATTAGTATAAGCCCCGCCCACTCGCGCGAAAATTGCTTTCAAGGAGCCAGCAGGGCTTCGCTTTAGAATCCACCCAAACAGGTGGTTCAGGCAATGAGCCCTTGGCCCACCAATCAGGGAGCGGAGCCGTTTAAAATACCTTTACTGTATTGCTATGACGACCGCGTTAGACTCGGTTAATATGGATGAGCCATGCCTCTCTCGAATATTTTCTTTCCTCTTCTTTCCAGGCTGGAAGGAGAAAGTAGGCGGGCGGCTAGTTTCGTTTATGAATGTCGCCTAGAAACTCGAGAAAGGATCCTGCTCAGCCTGTCCCCCTTTGGCGGCTGGGACAAACATAGAGGCTGCTTCCTAATCCTGTTTTAAAGGATTTAATTTCAAGAAACGCTGGGAGAGACCGAGGCTTCACCAACCATTGGCCGCAGCTTATAGACCAAGCCAGTTAGAGGAGAAAAGCGTCGACAAGAAAGCGACCTATCTAAGCGAAAACCAGTATGCTTGGAAACCCTTCTAATCCTATGCTTAAATGGGATTTCTCCTCCTCTATTTACCAATTGTTTGGTCCGGGATAGTGCCTGTCCAAAACTGGAGATAGAGGCTCCCTGACCAGAGATATTCTTTTCCTTCCAGCAGCAACAGAGGTTTCTCGTGACTTTTTAACCCTGGCCAGGGAAAGAATCTCTATTGCACAGTACAAATCTTCGTTGATTTGGTCGAGATGCCGTTGGGACATATATGAATCTGAAAGTGAAATGTTTATAGAAGTAAGTAATCCTATAATCTCAAGATCTCCTTGTTAGCAAAAGCCCATGGCAAATGCTCTTGTGCAAATGCAGCCCTAGAAACTATGTTCCATAGGGAAACGTGTTTGTAATCAGCTCCAATCTGATATGTTTCTGTAATGAAGAAGGGGTCAATGACTCCTCCCCCCCCCCATATACAAGAACAGATGTTTCTTAGTAATGGGAAGACTGCTGCAATGGATTTTTCACCACACCAGTTCTCAGAAAACAAAAACAGGAAACAGCTAATTTAGTAGTTATATCAAAACTTGTTTTATTGTTTAGGTTTACCATTTTTTTTCCTGCCAAGATAATTGAATTTTTAAACAGCTATTGAAAAGGGAAGGTTGTGGGATCTTCATCTCTGGAAATTTTTAAGAGGATGAATAGCTGCTTGTTGAGGAGAGCTAATAAACTTCACTGTGGTTAGGAATATAAAAAATTGTGTAATCCTTTTTCATGTTCCTTTTATTACTAAAGCAAAATATGTAGAAAAATGTAAGACATATCAATATTTGCCCTCAACTACAGTCAGCATTTTTGTTTCCAGTTCCCATTTTTGGAAATCAACACGTTCCTATGGAAGAAAGTACAGTACATCCACACAATATTTTCTGAAGCAAAATACACTGCCATATTTATGAAATGTATTATATATGGGTGGATGATGCAAAAAACAAACTTTTAGTCAACATGAGTCTGAAATTACTTTGAAGTTCCCTGTTTCTTAACAGAAAATGAGCAGTAAGATCTGATAAGAAGGGCATGAGATATAGGATCTTTTCAGAGGTTCGATAAACATTGACTACCTTTGTTCCCAAAGTAATTTTGAATGTTTATAGAAATCTTTATTCTAATGTCAGATAGCAAGGTCCCATCATAATTCTGATAACACTAGTCCTTTCTCCACTAGCAATTTTACAGTAGCATCATCAACCTCTTGGTTCCTCATTGGTCAGAAAAGGCTAGTCTCATTTTATTACAACTTATTAATTTAAACAACATTCAATAATTATTTTGTATACCGACATACAAGTGATTTTTCCCTTGAAAATCTGATTTTGCCCTGTCACACCTTGGGGGCTCCATTATTTTATTCCTGAAAAGAAGGGGTAAATTTTGCAGTTGTATATTTGTTCAGTTCCCAAATAGCATTAGATGAGGTGCCACATCCCCGCTTTTTGTTATTTGTTTGATAATTACATCCCATATTTTTCTTTAGGTTCTCAAAATGGTATATCACCCTCTCCCCTTGCTGCACAACAATGTTGTGAGGTTGCTCAGGCTGAGAGGAAAACTCACTCAAAATTACACAATATGGCTGTGGGTGCTCTTGAACCTGGTTCTCCCCATGACAGTCCAAATTCTTAATCATTATACTATATTTGCTCTGTTTGTTATAGAATAGATTATAGAACAGTGAAATGAGGGATAATAAGCCTTGGCAATTTGCAATTATTTATGTATATTTGTCAGTTTCAGCCAGTCCCTCACCTACCCACTCAATTACTAAGAATCAACGTGCTTTCTGGCTATTTGTTTCAGTCATCCAGATCTATAGATTTCTCCTTGCAGTTATCTAATTATGTCTGTCCAAATATGAATCTGGCACTATTCCGTTAATTAAAATAGAGATACCTACACCTTTAGAATTTGGACTCACTTGCTTACTGTCAAGTGATCTTTTTATCTTGTAAGAGGTTCAAATGGTGCATTGGATGGGCAAGCAAACTGATCTAGAGGCCAGTTGCTGCAGAACTGTGCAGTTGCCACACCCAATAGTTTCCCAATGTAGTTCTCCCATTGTGGATGAGTGATGATACTTTGAAGGGGAAAGACCCAAATCCAGAGAAAACCCATCCTGCCTCTCTAACAAGGCACTCACAAATCTGGGCAATGGGTTGGGCAGGAAATTGCAAAAGGCAATAGAGATAGCATAGAAAATGTAGCAGCCACCCATTCTTATAAGGGTAATATTTTGTAGTGACAAGAGGAAGGTGGATGATGCTTTAAATGACTAGCTACACACATGAGGATGTGGCTCACTAAAGATAACAGAAGTCCAGTACATGAGAAGACAACCAAATGAAAAACATAGAATAGTTTGTTCGTGCAGAATTTTCTATGAAAGTCAGGAAGGACTAATTCCCATTTTATCTTCAGACCAGCCACTGAAACAAGTCCATAAAGGAATATTATAACCAAAACGGAACTCCTGATACAGCAGACTCTCTCCAGAGTCTACATGTAATGCATGTAGCCTGCGATAGGCAGAATTCCACTTTCCAGAGACCCCCGGCCAGCGACGAACAGAGGAGCCCCCTCCAGCTGGGGGAGACTTGAAAGCGGACGGTCTCTGACATCAGGAGCGCTTACGCTCGCGACGTCAGGCTGCGGTGGGGCCGAGCGAGCGTTGGCGCGACGGGCCGGGACTCCGTGCAGGGCTGCGCATGCGCCGTCGGGATAGGTGGCTGTTGGTCCAAGAAGGCTGGGGCTGCTGGAAGGTGAGGTGAGCCTCGGGACGATCGGACTTCAAAGGGAGGCGTTGTGCTTCCCCTTCCCCTCCGGCGGGGAGCCTGGTTCTTGGGTTAGGAAAAAGGCGGGGAAGTCTCTGGGACCGTTTGGGTAAGGGAGTCCTCTCCCCAGCGTCCCCCTAGCCGGTCGCCGTCCTCGTGGGGGGTGGGGGGTCTCGACTCGGTCCGAGGGTGCAGGTATTCTAGCCCCGCCGCCGCCGCCGCCGCCCTTATCTTCCCCCTCGGAGGAGGGACTTTCCGGAGCTTTGGTTTGCCCACCCTGAGAAAGTGAGGGGCGCTTTGAAGGGCCTGCTGGCTGTGCTGCTGCGGTTTGGAGACGATAAGCCAAAATTGCTGAGATTTGTAAACACGGAGTCCCCACCGCGGCCACGCAACGCTTGATCCACACGTCGGCTCTGGGGGCTTTTTCCTCTGACGGCGCGTGACAGCTTGTCGTGTAGTAAAGGATCCGAAAGGGTTGGAGGTTGGAGAGCTTTCCCCGAGGGGTGGATCTTGGCTGGAAAAGCGCAGGCCTTGAATCTTGGTTGTGTTAGTTCGGGAGTATTTCTGGCTTGGGAAGCCTATTGGGAGCTGTTTTAAAACCGATGGTCCTTGCCCGCTACAGTAATGAGCAAAATCCTATGCTTAATTGAATATTTTCTTTCTCCTTCAGGAATACGAGGACAGCCGAGGAATCTTTGCTTCTTGAAGGTGGAGCGGTTGCTTTTTATTTTCCTCCTCTGTCTTGGGAAAAGTAGCTTCTTCCCTGTCTTTTGATTGCTGTGTTTTGGAGGCCATTTAACTCTTTCCGGAATGCAAAGATGCACTTGATGCTTTCCTTGGGAGCCTGGTGTTGTTTATGAACAGGAATAAAAGAGACACTCTTTATCGGGGAGAGAGGTGGGACGTGGATCTTGGTTTTACAGTCATCAGTGACCAAAAGAAATGGAGGAGAAGGAGCGATGTGATCAATTCAATCTGACACTCCTATGCTAAATACTCTCAAACAATTTTTCAAGGGAAAAAAAATCAGAAGAGAAGAGAACAATATACTAAAAGTAATTTCTTCAAGTTTAGGAAGCAGGCAGGTGAATGGAAGAAGAATGGTTCCAATTTTGAAGTTGCTTTTGCAGCTATCAAATAAAGACGATTGAAATCCAACTGCAAGTCTACTATTTGTGCTGAGGTTGTCTATAAAGAAAAGGGCAGTTCGCTCTTTGTTTCTTTTGAAAAAGAACCTTCAAAAACATTATCTCCAATCTTCACATCAACGCCACTTTTTGAAAAATGAGTTGCGTGCCATGGAAAGGTGACAAAACAAAATCGGAATCACCAGAAACGCCCCAAGTGATGCCAGTGCACATTTATCATGAAAAACAACGCAGAGAGTTATGTGCACTCCATGCTCTCAATAATGTCTTCCAGGACAGCAATGCCTTTACACGAGACACATTACAGGACATTTTCCAGAGGTAGGAAAAATGGTTTTATTATATTATTGTGGAGAGTTTGTTTACATTTCTTTGGTAGACTAGACTAGATTTTACAGTGATTTTCTGATGTTTTATTATTAAACTCTTCTATCATTCAGTTCACTTTGATCTTCATAAATTAGTCTACCTGCCTGTCTTAACTTCAGAGAAGGAAGTAAAATCTACTTAGGATTATATTATACATTTCTAATGTAAAGAATGTAATGACTGAATC